ACCTCAAGGCAAGGACACCCTGACACCCGCTTGGTGCTTGGTGCGTGGCGGGAGGAGCTGAGGACGCTACCAGGAGGCTCCCACCCGCTCACCTGCAGGGGGACACGAAGTGGGAGGCAGCTGCCAGGGCCACTAGGGGGAGTCGGGGCGGGGGGGCCTGCTGGGGAGGCCTGGGGTTCTGGAGATGGGCAGTGGGGAATGCTGCCCAGCAGAGGGCAGGGCCTAGCCCACACCACTGCAGCTTAAAATACACGTGCCACAGACCCCTGGTGTCTGCTGGGCAGCTGGCCTGCACCTGCTCAGACCTGCTGCCCCTGCCTGTGCCCCAGCGCGACACAGGTTGTGCCGTGTGGACTCTACCACAGTTAAGAAACGCAGATCAGCAAAGCCGGGGGACAGGCCTGCGTCAGGGTGGGGTAGCTCTGCCAAAGGGTCATTTAGCACAGGCACAGGGATCAATAAGCAGCCATCCTGATGTCACGGCTCGGGACAGTCCTGGGGACCCTTGTGGCTGGCAGGAGGAACTTGGTGGCACTCAGGCAGATCTTAAATGGGCAGCATCTTGTCCCCTCAGACCACGACGGGGCAGCCGCAAGGAGAGAAGACCCACAGAACTCACAGGGGAGGATGTGTTGGTTGTCCCAGGGAAGGCCCCCGTCCCTCTAGCCAGGGGCCACATCCAGGGACAGTGGCCAGACCTGAGTCCTGGTCACTGGCCTTGTGGTCAGTGGAGGTGTCTTCTTACCCTCAGAGCCGAGTCTTGGGGACAAACCAGGCCGTGGAAGCCAAGGACGCCCTAGACCCACAAACTCTGAATTTGAGGAGTCTGTCCCTCCAGTGCCAGGAGGAAACTCAGGTTTGGGTGAGACTGGACATGAAGCAGGAATGCACATCTGGTCAGGCAGAGGAAGGATGTGGTGGGTGGAGGCATCTCCTCTTGCCTGCAGACCCTATTGAGTCAGTGTGAACCCTGGGCTCAGCGGGCCTCCAAGCCGGGTCAGAGAGGCCGAGGCCTGGCTTGCATGGGGTCAGCCTTCCCATTCTGGGCAACGCACCTCCTGCCTGTGATTGGACGGTGCTGGCTCACTGTCCCTTCTCCCAGGACACTCAGGGTGGCCCTGCGACCCTGGGGAAGGAGTGGGGGTCTCTACAACCCGTGGCTGCTGCACGAGCCTCCAGGCAGCTGAACCTCCAGGCAGGGGCGGTCCTCTAGGCAGCCCTGACCCTGCAGGATGCCCAGATCACCTGCTGTCGCCCCTGTGGCACAGTTGCTCACCTGTCTGCACGGGGTAGTTCACCGGCTCCGCTCCTCCCGGTTTCTGCTAGTTCAGCAGTAGACAGCCCAGGTCAGCCTAGAGAGTGCCATGGGCTCTTGGGCGCACCATGGGGACAGCACCTGCGCCGTGCTCCCCGCATACGCTCTCTTCTGGGCCCTGGACCTGGGGACAGTCTCTGCCCTGCTGGGACTGTCTCCCAGGGACCCAGGGGCCAGTAGGCCATGGGCACATGCTCAGGGAAGGAGCTGGACCCAGGCAGCCTGGAGCCAGACCCACGCTGCCGCCGTCACGGCCACCACAGGCAGGGCCCTACCTGTCAGCTGCGGAGCTGTGGGGACAAGAGTTGGCTGCGAGAGGTCAAGGAGCCCAGCACTGTGGTCAGCACTGGGAGGCTGGAGGACCCAGCAGCGCCAGGCACACCCCAGCACTGGACGTAGTGCCGCGCTCGGTGACTACCCGCAAGTTGGCCCCTAGAGCTGGGCAGCTTTCTCGTCATTGGTGGGCCTACTGCATGGTTGTCCTACTCAGTTCCCCAACTGGGATAACTGTAGATTCACATGCATCCCGAGGAACAGCACGGTGACCCCAGGACCCTCTGGCCCACCTTCCCCATGGTGACATCCGCATGCCCTCTGGTGACATCTTGCCAAGTATGATGGCAAGAGAACCAGTATCTCCCAAGCCCTATAATAAGGAGAAAGGAATCCTGTTAGAAGGAAATGAGCATCAGACACCCACTCTGAGCCAGAGGACAGGGGCTCAGCCCTCCAGGTAGCCCTGCTAGGCTGCTGGTGCCCTGAGATGGGCCTGCAGGAATCACCTGTGGGATCTGCCTGCCAGGGTGGCTGTCGGGCTCCTGGTGGCCAGGAGCAGTCCTGTCCCCTGACTGGGATGTGGGTGCCCAGCACTGGGGGCCTGGGCCTCGGGCCTGCACTTTCTCTGGGAGGATTCGAGCCCTAGGCCAGTGGTGGTCAGGAGGAAGCTTTCCTGGGCAGAAGCAGCTATTGCCAGCATTTCTGATCTCCTGTGACCCCTTACTAGGGTCCCCTCTTGGGGCCACCACTGTGCCCCTTCATACCAGCCTTGTGGGGAACTGGCAGGTACTGGACAGGATGCAGGGTCAGCACAAAGAGTGAACCACCTCAGGTAGAAAAGCAAAGTCCTGCCAGGTGTAATGGCCCACGCCTGTAACCCAGCAGCTCAGAGGCTGAGGCAGGAGGATCCCAAGATCACAGGCAGCCTCAGCAACGTAAAAAGGCCCTAAGAAGCTTCCTGAGACTCTGTCTAAGAGAAGAAGCCTGGGGGTGTGGCTCAGTGGTAGAAACCTCAGAGTTACTAGCAGGAAGGAAGGAAGGAAGGAAGGAAGGAAGGAAGGAAGGAGGGAGGAGGAGAGAAGGTGGAGAAAAGGAGGAGGAAGGTGGAGGAGAGGAGGAGGAAGGTGGAGGGGAGGAGGAGGAAGGTGGAGGAGAGGAGGAGGAAGGTGGAAGAGAGGAGGAGGAGGAAGGTGGAAGAGAGGAGGAGGAGGAAGGTGGAGGAGAGGAGGAGGAAGGTGGAAGAGAGGAGGAGGAGGAAGGTGGAAGAGAGGAGGAGGAGGAAGGTGGAGGAGAGGAGGAGGAAGGTGGAGGGGAGGAGGAGGAGGAAGGTGGAGGGGAGGAGGAGGAAGGTGGAGGGGAGGAGGAGGAAGGTGGAGAGGAGGAGGAGGAAGGTGGAGAGGAGGAGGAGGAAGGTGGAGGGGAGGAGGAGGAAGGTGGAGGGGAGGAGGAGGAAGGTGGAGGGGAGGAGGAGGAGGAAGGTGGAGGGGAGGAGGAGGAGGAAGGTGGAGGGGAGGAGGAGGAAGGTGGAGGGGAGGAGGAGGAGGAAGGTGGAGGGGAGGAGGAGGAGGAAGGTGGAGGAGAGGAGGAGGAAGGTGGAGGGGAGGAGGAGGAAGGTGGAGGGGAGGAGGAGGAAGGTGGAGGAGGGGAGGAGGAGGAAGGTGGAAGAGAGGAGGAGGAGGAAGGTGGAGGAGAGGAGGAGGAAGGTGGAGGGGAGGAGGAGGAGGAAGGTGGAGGGGAGGAGGAGGAAGGTGGAGGGGAGGAGGAGGAAGGTGGAGAGGAGGAGGAGGAAGGTGGAGAGGAGGAGGAGGAAGGTGGAGGGGAGGAGGAGGAAGGTGGAGGGGAGGAGGAGGAAGGTGGAGGGGAGGAGGAGGAGGAAGGTGGAGGGGAGGAGGAGGAGGAAGGTGGAGGAGAGGAGGAGGAAGGTGGAGGGGAGGAGGAGGAAGGTGGAGGGGAGGAGGAGGAAGGTGGAGGGGAGGAGGAGGAAGGTGGAGGGGAGGAGGAGGAAGGTGGAGGAGGGGAGGAGGAGGAAGGTGGAGGAGAGGAGGAGGAAGGTGGAGAGGAGGGAGGAGGAGGAAGGTGGAGGGGAGGAGGAGGAAGGTGGAGGAGAGGAGGAGGAAGGTGGAGGGGAGGAGGAGGAGGAAGGTGGAGGGGAGGAGGAGGAAGGGGGAGGGGAGGAGGAGGAGGAAGGTGGAGGGGAGGAGGAGGAGGAAGGTGGAGGGGAGGAGGAGGAAGGTGGAGGGGAGGAGGAGGAGGAAGGTGGAGGGGAGGAGGAGGAGGAAGGTGGAGGAGAGGAGGAGGAAGGTGGAGGGGAGGAGGAGGAAGGTGGAGGGGAGGAGGAGGAAGGTGGAGGAGGGGAGGAGGAGGAAGGTGGAGGAGGGGAGGAGGAGGAAGGTGGAGGAGAGGAGGAGGAAGGTGGAGAGGAGGGAGGAGGAGGAAGGTGGAGAGGAGGGAGGAGGAGGAAGGTGGAGGAGAGGAGGAGGAAGGTGGAGGGGAGGAGGAGGAGGAAGGTGGAGGGGAGGAGGAGGAGGAAGGTGGAGGGGAGGAGGAGGAAGGTGGAGGGGAGGAGGAGGAAGGTGGAGAGGAGGAGGAGGAAGGTGGAGGGGAGGAGGAGGAAGGTGGAGGAGAGGAGGAGGAAGGTGGAGGGGAGGAGGAGGAAGGTGGAGGGGAGGAGGAGGAGGAAGGTGGAGGGGAGGAGGAGGAGGAAGGTGGAGGGGAGGAGGAGGAAGGTGGAGGGGAGGAGGAGGAAGGGGGAGGGGAGGAGGAGGAAGGTGGAGGGGAGGAGGAGGAAGGTGGAGGAGAGGAGGAGGAGGAAGGTGGAGGGAGGAGGAGGAGGAAGGTGGAGGAGGGGAGGAGGAGGAAGGTGGAGGGGAGGAGGAGGAGGAAGGTGGAGGGGAGGAGGAGGAAGGTGGAGGGGAGGAGGAGGAAGGTGGAGGGGAGGAGGAGGAAGGTGGAGGAGGGGAGGAGGAGGAAGGTGGAGGGGAGGAGGAGGAAGGTGGAGGGGAGGAGGAGGGAAGGTGGAGGGGAGGAGGAGGAGGAAGGTGGAGGGAGGAGGAGGAGGAAGGTGGAGGAGGGGAGGAGGAGGAAGGTGGAGGAGAGGAGGAGGAAGGTGGAGGGGAGGAGGAGGAAGGTGGAGGGGAGGAGGAGGAGGAAGGTGGAGGGGAGGAGGAGGAAGGTGGAGAGGAGGGAGGAGGAGGAAGGTGGAGGGGAGGAGGAGGAAGGTGGAGGGGAGGAGGAGGAAGGTGGAAGAGAGGAGGAGGAGGAAGGTGGAGGAGAGGAGGAGGAAGGTGGAGGGGAGGAGGAGGAGGAAGGTGGAGGGGAGGAGGAGGAGGAAGGTGGAGGGGAGGAGGAGGAAGGTGGAGGGGAGGAGGAGGAAGGTGGAGGGGAGGAGGAGGGAAGGTGAGTGGAGGAGGAGGAAGGTGCAGAAGGAGCGGGGTGGGGGTGGCCCTTCCTGTTCCAGGCACCCCTGTGTCAGCATGTGGAGAGGCCCCTGTCATCATGTGGAGAAGGTCGCAGGAAGGTCAGGTGAAGGAACCTGAAGGCAGGCTCTCAGAACTCCAACCTGGAGGACACTGGCCCAGAGGGCGAACCCACTCTCTGTGAACCGTGAAGAGTCCTAGCAGAGGAACTGGGATGCGTGCTCTGTCCACCTATCACTTAACGCATGTGCACTCAAGAGCCAACCAGACCACGTGGTCCCGAGGACTCCAAGCAGAAGCCGCCCGCTCTGCATGTCCACTTGTGCACTGTGGTAGTATAGACAGAGTGGTGTAGGAAGGGCCACACAGCAGGGTCCATGGGAAGAAGGGCACCAGCAAATGTCCTCACTCTTGTGGGATTTAGCGTGTGCAGACTTGAGGGTCCAGCCAGGGCCCAAGAGAACTTGAGGATGGAGTGACAGAACTGGGGAGTCCATGTGGCCTTGGGGCATGGAACGCTCCCCAGAGGTACCCTTTCCCAAGCCCCAGACAGACCCAACCAGGGAGGTGAGCTGGAGGCCCTCATGGTGGTCAGGAGAGGCCGAGAGGAGAGCCACTGGGGCAGATCGGCAGCAGCAGACCAGGCTTGGGAATGCTGAGATCAGGCGACTGGGAGGTGGGAATGGGACGGTCTGTAGTGGGGGTGATCATTGTCCCACCCTGACCATTTAGGTGAGACCTCGAACAACTGAGTGCATCAACCCAAGGCCCCAGGAGAGCTGGGCCCTGAGATGTAGAAAGTCTGTAGCTGGGGTCAACCAGACGGCTAGAGTCTCCATGTGGAGCACTCTATGGCTGGAGCACACTGGGCCTGCACCCACAGCCAGCCTCCAGGGCTCTGTGTCCCACCTGCAACCAAGGGCCAGAGTGTTGGCGCCCTGCTGTCCACTTCACGTCCAGCCACCCATGGCCTCCCAGACTCTCTCGGACCCCTGGCTCCAATGCCTTCCTCTCATGCCTTTCCACCCACTCCCAGAAGAGGGAGCTGTGAGCTCTCAGCACCCCTGAGGCCTTTCACCCACATACAGCCCAACAGGCTTTTAAAAAATTAATTTTATTGAGGTGCAATTCACAGGCACGGAAGCACAAGGTTAAATGTGCTTGGACAGACACATACCTTCTGACCACTGTGCTTGTCAGGCAGGACTGCTCCACTGACCCTCCTCTGGCCACAGGCCGGCACTGACCCATTCCTGTCAGGACAGAGCCCCCTGTCCCACGTGGTCTGGCCTGCCTAGCACTTACAGGCACCGGGCATGCTTGTCCTTCACCTCCTAAGCCCATCTGGGCCCTGCTGGTTTCTAGCAACCACAGCTACATGGGGTGCACTGCGTGCACGTGCCTCAGCCCTCCTGAGCAGGTGCGTGGGGAGGGACGGCCACACGGGCTGCTTAGGCTCCCAGGCTGCTCCGTGTGCTCGCCAGCCCTTGGCGCCTATTTTTAAGGGTGAGCATCCAGTGGGCACCCCATGGACCCTCGATCTTGGTGATGCGTGACTGATATCAGGCATATTTCCACATGCTTATTGGTCATTTGTACACCTCTGGGTCTTCTCAAAACTTTTGCTTTTTTAAAAAACTGGATTATCTTCTTATTCCCAGGTCACAAGTGTTATTCACTTACTCTGGACACAAGCCCTGTGTCAGGAACGTGGACATGGAGTGTAGACCTTTCTCCCAGGTGGCCGGCCTCTCCTGCCCCTTCTGGCCTCCTCCCACTGCTCCTGGTCCAGTCTGGTAGCACTTCCTCTCATGGATTGTGCCTCCAGCCGAGGTCGGGAGAGGTCCTGGTTGGGATGCTAGGTGTTCCCTGAGGCTGTGTCGAAGGCTCGTGCCTAGGGAGGTGGTGAGGCCTGGTCAAGGTGGGGCCTACTGGGAGGTCTAGGTCATGGGCTGGGGACTAGGAGGAGACTGGGGGACCCAGCCCCTTTCTGTCTTCTGCTTCCTGTAGCAAGGTGAGCAATTGTGACAAACCACATGCTCCCCCATGAAGTATGCCACAGGCTCAGAGATCAATGGGCCAAGTAATATTAAGACCTTCAACACTGAGCAGAAGTAAACCTTTCCTCCTTACGAGCCGACTACCTCAGGCATTTTCTTACAGAGATGAAAAGCAGACTACTGTAGTCACTACCCAGCAGGACTGTGTTGATGGAAAGCTTACCTACCTGAGCTGCCCTGCATGTAGCCACCAGCTGTGATTTAAATAGCTAATGGCTACCACACTAATATATTCAAGTTTTACTTTTAATGTAGGCCTAGAATCTATTTCAAATTGGTGTTTGTGAATGGGTATGAAACAAGGGTCAATGTTCTTTTTGTCTGTGGTATGGGGAGGGATCCTGGGGCCCTGTGCATGCAAGGCCAGTGCTCTGCCACTGAGCTGCGCCTGTCCCAGCTAAGGACCATGTGTCTGTGTACATCCAGTAGTTCTGAAAGGCAGTGCCCAGCCGGGCCACAGGGCACCTTCCTGGACACGCAGGTGTCTCTTTCTGGAAGCTGTTCTTGCCCTTCTCTCTGTGAGAACACCCACCCCAACATTGGCTCCTCTTACTCAAAATAGCTGTGGCTGTGGTGGGTCCTTCCGATTTTCCTGTCTGTTTGGAATCAGCTTTTCCTTTCTACAAAATAAGAAGCCTGGGATTCAGATTGGATTACCTTGAATGCCTTGGGGGAGACACTCTCCTAAGCGAGCCTTGCAACCGTGAACAAGTACCTCTTCCTGGTTGGTCTAGATGCTTGTTCTCTCGTCGTGCTTTGTAGCTCAGTATAGAAGGCTGGCACGACTCCTACATTCTCAGGTGTTTACGTTTTTGATGTGAATGGTGTCATGGACTTCCCCATCACCTGCTCCTGTGTTGGGGCACAGTGCTCTTTGTGAACCTGGTTTCCTGCGACCTTGCTGAGCTGACTCGTTCCTGTCTCTGGTAGATTTCTCACACGTGGCATGACGGTCGCCCCACCTGTGAGCAGCGAGTTCTGCCCCTTCAGTCTCTGCCTAGGACCCAGTTCTCCTTCTTGCCACATGTGTTGGCTCTCTGTGCCTTGTTCCCACCTAGACTGACAGCACATGCTCCTTCACAATGAGAATGTCACCTGCAGGTTTCTTGAACAGCTCCTCTGCCACCAGTGTCCACCAGCAGTGACCATGGGCTCAGTGGAGGTCCTCTCTGCCCGGGATGTGCTGTGTGGCCAGCCCTCACTGCATGCAGAAGGCTGGGGTGCTCATTCTGACCTCCTGCCTGTGGATAAGTGCTCGGAGGGCTTCCAGAGCAGTGGCCTCAAACCCACCTTGTGCTGCCTGCTCTGTTTGCACATCTCCTACTGTGATTTCATGTCATTCTCCAGCAGCTTCACTGTGGTCCCAAAAGGGAACTAGCCTCCCTTGTTCTCTCCTACATGCACGAGCACCCAGGGGTTTGTGAAAAGCTGACTTGAGCGCTGGTGTCTGGAGCCCTCCCAAGGAAGGCCATGCTACAGCTGGCCAGGCAGAGCACCCAGCCCAGAGGTGCTCAGAGGGGCTGGTGCCCACAGGGGGCACTCTCAGGCTGCTGCAGGAGCTCTGCTCTGGGTCAGGGTTCAATCCAGGGGCAGAGACAGGCTCCAGAGAGGACAGTAGGCTCAGGAATGAGGTTGGGGGTGCTTGCTGGCTGTGCTGAGGTCTTGCTAAACCAGTACGTGGGCAAGAAGGGTACTGGGTCCTCTGCCTCCACTCAGCTGCTGCAGGCTTCAGGGAGTGGGAGGAGAGGACTGGGTCCTCCCTGACAGGGGCACTCCCTGCTCCTCTCAAGGTACCCATACCCATGCGGATGGGGGATACTAAGGGGCCAGAGCCTCCAACCACGACAGGCCTGCATGGCTCTGCTTGGACCTGGTCCACTTGGAGCCCAGCTCAGTCTGACCTCTAGGGCCCTGGTGTAGGAGAGGCAGAGAAGCCCAGGACAGGGAAGGCAGAGAGACCGGCTTGATGCTGAGAAGGAACGTGTGCACAGAGGCATTGCCCAACTGTTCTCAGGTCTAGAGCTCTCCTTGGGGACACATCTCTGTCCAGTGGCTTCCAGCAGAAGTTACCACTGAGAACAGATGGACAGTGCTGTTCAGAAATGAAGAGTGGGAGACTCAGAAATCCTCAACCAGGCCCCAGCTCTGCGTGCCGGTACTGGGTTCAAGGAAACACTGCGAGCCAGCCCTGTTCCTGGGACCACGTGTAGCATGTGGGGACGCTGGCTGAGTGCACAGAGCAGTCAACAACATGCAACGCCCCCAACGCTGTGCCCTGATGTCCACATGTGTGGCATGCCTGTGCGTGTGTGCGTGTCTGGGCTCTGGGTTTCTTGCTCAGGGAAGGCCCTGATCCAGACTGTGGGAACCAGGGCTCTACCACCAGAACACACCTGTTTCCAAAGCCGGGGTTGTCCTGTGCCCATGGCTGCTGCTGCTGGAAGCGGGCTCTTGGGGGGAGCCCTGAAACTGTGGAAAGACATTTGCAGGGACTTCCCTGTGTCAGATGAGGGTTGGGGTAGACTCAGGTGGCCAGGACATTGGTTGGGAACATTCTGGACTTTGGGAGCACTAACTGAACATAGCTGCCATGCTCCCTGGTGGGAGTGGGCACTGCAGGGGAACTCTGCCCAAATCAATTCAGGTGGGTCTGAGTATTCTTGATGGTCCTGGGCAGTGGGACAAAGTGGGCAGCTACACTTGATGGGGGATACCACCAAGCAGTTCCTCCAGGTCGGCCTGGAGCTGGGCATTGCTGGGTTAGGCTGCAGACGCCACCTAAACACCTCTGGGAGGCAAGGAGTCTCTGTGGGCCTGCAGAAGCTGGGCACCACCCCTCCAGCCTATGGCTGCTCCCCCCTGACGTGGACAGACTGTTAAATCCAGGAGACCCTCCTGCAGCTTGTCTTCGCCACAGCACCTTGTGCCTTTCAAAGCTTGCAGTGGCTCCCACCAGACTGTCCACTGACCCCCACCACCGTGCGATGCCCACCTCTGATGCTGCTGCAGAGCCCTCCTCCAGCCAACGCCTGGAGTGGCCTGTCCTCCCTCAGAGCAACTGCTCTCAGTGACCACGGGCCTCAGGTGCTGCTGCTCACCGTGGGCCCCTCCACTCCAGCCCACCCAACAGGGCCTGCTGCAGCTGGGATCCCAGTCCTTGTGGGAAGGGGACTTTAGACAGCCCTCCCCGCGCAGGTGCGCAGGAGTCTCGCAGTTCTACACACAGCTGGAGACGGTGGGGGAGACTGCCGCCCTCTGTGGCCTCTGCACGCTGCCCTTGCCCTGGTGCCCACCCTTCCTGCCTATGGGTACGGTGGCCACCATCAGGGCTCCTGTGGGCAGGCTCCTTGCTAAGCCCCATGGGGGCACTGGCCAGGCTGCCTGCCTCTGTCCACTTCTAGTAGTGGCCCCTGACCTGCTCAGAGGACCATACCGCCCTGTCCCCCAGGTCTTCAGCCACTCACACACAGGAAGGAGGGACTCTCTGGAGTTCTGCCCCTCGGTCTGCCTGCAGGAGTGGGGACTGGCACAGCCAGAGTGCTGGTGGGCACATGCAGCTCTCCCTAAAGTTCTGTGAGCTATCTCAGAACCCACTTCCAAGCTGCAACTGTTTTCGGTTATTGATATTTGTTCCTGCTGTTGTCCACATACAGGGACCCGTGGACAGGACCAAGGCTGGCTGAGCATACAGCCATTGAGTGCAAGGACCCATGCAGGCTTCCAGGCATGGAATGGACGGGACAGAATTCTGCGGGACTCTGCACACCCGAAGGGACAGCAATAGCAGGTCCAGCAGGCCAGGAGTGGGTCCAAACCATTCACATATGAAAAAGGGAAGGGCAGGGGCATTTTGAGGGGCTCCTACAATTCCTGAGCTGCCATGGAGCTGCTTCCCCCTGCCCCACTCTGTGGAACACAGCCTGGGCACCCCCAATAACCTGGACTCAGGGCTGGAGTTCTTTGGGCAGTGACTGGTGGCCATGTACCACTGAGGTCCAAGTCCAGAAGAGTAGAACAGTCACAAGTTGGGGAAGAGCTGTGCCGGTGGGGAAACTGTGGGTGTCCACACCGGGGCCCCCGAGTTAGCACAGGTGGTCCCTGCATCCCCTCAGTTCTATCCCCCAGACTTCCTGGTCATTCTTCCTGGCTCTCCCTCTGCCTTTCCGCCTTGCTTTCCCACTGATGGGCACAAGCACTGGGCGTTCAGCCAAACCCAGGGCCCTGAAAGGGATGGCTGCCAGTGCCCCCGGCCTGGGCATCTTGCAGCCCTAACTTCATGAGAGCCAGCAGCGGCAGCCCAGGGACCCTCCCATCTCAGCTCCCTGCCCCGGTTAACAAATCCTTGCTGGTTCAAGATGAGCCTGAAGGTGGAATGGGGCCTCGCGTCTCAGGCTGGTACCTGCAGTGCAGCTTGAGCCCGCAGTCCGCCGCTGGCCAGAGCTCTGGCCCCTGGACTGGGCTTTCGGACCGACAGGGAGCGAACGTTTCTAAAGGTGCCTGAAAGAAAGCGGGCACGAACCTTTTGTTCCCGGGTGTAGACAGAGGCCAGGAGCAGGCCCGCGGAAGGGCTTCGGTCCTCAAGTACGGCCAGGTCCAGGGGCGGGCCCGGGGAGGGGCCTCGGTCCCCAAGGCTCAGCGGCCGCGGTAGGGGAGGGGGCGGGGAGCGACGCTCGGGTCTGTCCAGGCAGGTCCCAGACGTCGCAGCGACCAAGGCCAGGCGCCGGCGGGTAGGGGCTCCAGGAGCAGGCTCCGGCGGGTGGTCGGGGACTGCGGCAGGAAGTGGGGGCGCGGAGGCTGGTGGGCGAAGGGCAGAGGGTCGCGCGGAAGAGGTGGGGGGAGTACACGGAAAGGGCGAGGTGGGGCAGGGGACGCGGGGCAGAGACTGGGATAGCGCCGGGGCACAGGGGCGGGCCGAGAGGGCGAGGGACCGACGTGGAGGAGGTGGGGGGCGGCCGGGCCGAGAAGGAGGTGCCGAGACACAGGGCAGCGGGGGACGCGCAGCGGGGGCGCGGCTGCACGAGGAGCCGCGTGACCCCGACGCTGACGGTGGCGACATCCGGAGAGCGCGTGCGCACAGCTGCGGGCGCGTGGGCTGTCTGTGGGCGTGCCCTGGGCGTGGGCGCTTGCCTACTCCAGGAGACGCTCCTGCGGCTGCGCGGCGCTGCACTGGTCACGCCCGCCCGCCGTCCCGCGCTCGCGCGCGGCATTGTAGGAACTGTAGTCCGAGCGTCCTCGTGCGCGGGACCCGGAGCGCCGCTGCTGCCCAGCCCAGGTACCCGCCTGCGGGGCGCGCTGCCGGGGGCGCGGGCTGGGTCTGGGGAAGGGCTGGGGTCCGTGGGGTGAGTGCGGGCCGCGGTGCGTGGGGTGCCAGAGGTCCCTGGTTGAGTGCGGGGGCGGGCCTGGGTCTGCGGGGTGCCAGGGTGAGCGCGGGAGCGGGCCAGGATCTGCGAAATACCTGGAGAACCTGGATGAGGGCTGCAGACCGGGGTCTGCGGGACGTCAAGGGTCGCCGGGGGCGTGAAGGGTGTGGAGTGGGGACTCAGAGTTTTGGCGCCAAGGTCCAGGTGCTATGGGCTGCGTGCATGCGGGGCGCCCATGGTGTCTGAACCCTCTGGTAACTTCGCGCCTGTCTGTCCGGTGAGGGCTGGGAGCGCCACTCCTCTTCTCCGTCTTCTCCCCGGGCCAGGAGAAACGCCTGGACCCGCCTGGATGCGCGTGCCTCTGCACCTGTGCTCGTGCTCCATCTGGCGGGAGTCTGCCACCCAATCCTCTGGCCCAGTAAAGCTCCCTGGCGCGCCTCCAGGCCTTTTGTAGTCGCGCCTGGAGGTTGTAGATAGGGCTCAAACAACTTCCCCTTGGAGCGGCTCTTGGCATGTTCTGGCAGGGAATAGGAGGTGTCTCCCTGTTGGACAGGGGCCTGGGAGCCTCTCCTGAGAGGTCCTCCAACATGTCTATAACAGGAAACCGCTTCTCAGGGTCCTGTCCCAGTCTCCATGGGAGGCTCCTGGGGAGGCTGGGGGGTGGCCCAGGCACATGCTATGTCTTCAGGGAATTTCTCACCATCCAGTCGTCCTGGTCTCGGGATACCAGTCAGAACCTAAACGAGTCCAGAAGGTATCTACAAGAAGCTGTTTCTCAGCACTGCACAGTGGAGATAGGATAAAGTCCTCCACGGTGCCTGCTGCTCCACCCTGCTGAGGAGTGTGGTCTTTCCCTGCTCCTCTGCCTGCCCCCCGGAGCCCAGATGGACCCAGCAGCATGCAGGACCCTCTGGCCCAGTAAAGCCGCCTGGGTGCTTCAGAGGCCTGTCGTCCAGATGTTTGGTTGTCTGTGCTGGGCAGCTGAGAAACCATGCTTGTCCGTGTGGCATGTCAGCCACAGTCAGAGGGCAGTCCTACTCGGGAAGGATGTCACTCTGCTGGGGGGAGGACTTCTTGGATTGTCTCTGAACCCAGCCGTGCCACCTGCTTGCCACAAGCTCCCGTGCTGTTTCTGAGACTGTGCCCGCCTCGTGGGCTCCCCTGCTCTCCTCCGGCAGGTGGCTCCAAGCCTGTGTGGGGAAGAGGTGTGTGGGGCTCTGCTGTGGAGGCCGGGGGACCTAGTTGGCCTGTTAGCTGACTGTGTGGGAGGTTGAATAGCCTCCGGTGGAGTGGAGTGGACTGGCAGGGAAAATGGGCTGTGGGGGCCCAGCCTCATTGATGAGACCTTGGCCTGCCTCAGTCCTGCTCAGGGGTTGGCCTGGGGAGGGCTGTCCCGGCCTCTTGTCCTGGCCGCTGACTAACAGGGCTTGAGGGTGCCCTGCCCTGGGTTGCGAAAGACTGTGCAGGTAAACAAGTGTTTGGACTTGTGGAGCTCAACATTGTCCATCAGGGGCCAGTGTTAAAAGTGTATTTCAAGTATGGACCTGGACTTTTGACCCCTGGTTCCTGTGTGACAGCCCTTGCTTCTGGGGCAGGGCTGAGCCCCTCCCCTGGCCAGTTTTCTGTCCCAGCCTGCCTCTTAGTCATGCTGTCCACTGGCCCAGTAGGTGCTGGAGTTGGCAGCCCCAGCACCGATTCTGGAAGGTTTTGGAGGTGTGCATGGGTGTGCCCCCCTCTTAGTGTTCCCTCCCCCACTCTTTGTGTTCCATCAGTACCCTTGCAGCACGAGCTCTAGCTCAGGGAGGGTGGTCCAGGGCTGTAGAGCTGGGGAGAGCCTGTGTTGAAGGAGGGAAGGTTGAGAACACTCCAAGGAACGAGGCTAAAGTAGAAAGGTGGCTCCTGTGGGACCTGGGTTGCAGCTGCTTCTCTTCTCCTTACCATGCCTCGCTCTTGCTGCCTCTGTGGAAGTGAAGGTCCGCTGGAGTCTGGGAGCATCCTAGGACTCCCGAAAGGGCTCAGGGAGCAGGAAGGGAGCCTGCCTTCCTGAGATCCTGCCTGGCCTTCCTGTGTGCACCCTACCAGGAAGTTGGTCCTGGGTCGGCTGGGCTTCTCTGCTGAGCAGTGGTGGAAGTTCAGGTGGAAGCGCAGTGCCATGCAGGGGTGATGCCAGCCAGGGGCTGGGCTGCAGATGGGAACCTGGAAATGTGCGCATGCCACAAAGCCCCACCTATGGGGACATGCTGGCCCTTTAGCAGTTATGTACTCCAAGAACAAAGATGGTGCAGGGCCCTGTCAGCCTCCTGATTCTCCTTACAAGATTTCAGAGCCCCCCACTGTGCTGCAGAAGTGTCCCCAGATGGCGGGGAGGGGACTGGAAGGGAGGGGCAGAGCCGACAGGAGCAGATACAGCAGTCCTGAGACTCCTGTGCTCTCTGGGTGTGGTGGGTGGCCTGTTCTGGCTCCCTGTGGGACATGTTGCAGGGTGTCCTCGGCTGCACCAGGGTTTAGGTGGACCTGAGGGGCGGGCCCCTGGTGATCTCTCATCGTAGCTCAAGACGTCAGCTTTGTGTCACACTGACCCAAACACCCGACAGGGACAACTTAGGAGGAAAAGTCTATTTTGGCTCACAGTTCAGAGGTCGGTCTGTGGTGGGCCCAAGGTGAAGGAGGACATCATCATGCGCCAGGCAGGCAGCCAGGAAGCAGGGGTGGGGAGGGGCCACAGAGAAGAGGCACCCTTCCAGGGCAGCCCCCAAGGACCCTCTCCTCCAGCCCTGCCCACCTGCCTTCAGTGACCACCTGGGAGGTCCATTCAGACTAGGATGGATCAAGAGGTCACAGCGCTCACCATCCAGTCATCTCGTCTCCCAATACTTCTGCATTGACATCAGCTTTGGGGACGCCTCACGTCCCTCCAGGGTTTGGGAAGTAAAAGGAGTGTGACCCCGATTCCCAGTGGACACCCAGTGAGGAACGGAGCCGCCTCCTGAGGGCTGGGCCTTCCTGGCTCCCACCCCTTCTCAGCTGTTTCCAAAGCTCCCCGGGAGGCTGGGAAGAGTGAGGCCAAGAGAGTGGACCTCAGCGTTTGTTCAGCTGAAGCCGGGGCTGGGCTGGGCTTCTCCTGGCTGGTTGTGTCCTGCTGTCAGCCCTGCCTGGCTGCTTGTTTTTCCTCTGGCCCTTTGAGAATGTGGGTCCTGTCCCAGGCCCTGTAACTTCCGGGGCCACTGCTGGTTCTCATCATCCCCCACCCCCCCCATAGAACTCTCTGGAATCCTCGCAGCTGCTTGGCCCCTGCCCTCCCGCCCTGGCAGCCACCCAAAACAGGCCACCGGCCCCTGCCTCTTTAGGGGTTAATCTGCCTTCCCCCTCGGCACAGAAAGGAGCACATTGGGACTGAGAGGGCAGAATCTCGGATGGTCTTGACAAGGGCCGTGGGGTAGGGGAGCCCCAGAGTGGGTCCCTGCAAGTCACCTCACTTTCCTGGGCCTCTGTCATGTAAAGGAGGGTCAGAGGTGTCTTCAGCTAAGAGGTGTCCCAGGTCCCAGGGTCCCAGTGCCAGGAATTGGGCCCTCAAAGCCGGCGCCACATCTCTGGAGCTTTCTTCACCCCTCGGGACTCTCCCTGAGCTGAGACCCTCTGGAGACCACTGCAGACACTGTACCTGCCCAGGCAGGCTGTGGGAGGGGCAGAGTCATCCACCCGCCTGAGTCCCGCCTGCCTCCCTGTGCTTCTGCCTCTGCCCCTGCCTCAGCAACGGGGGCCGCCTCTGCACAGGATCCCCCACGCCATCCTCCAGGAGGGAGGTCACCCAGCAGAATGGAGCTGCGGTCACAGGGGCAGCTGGCCGGAGCCTCCTTAGCCATGTGGGAAGCCTGCAGCGCCTGGCACGTGGAGGTGTGGGGGCCAGCACAAGCCACAGGGCGCTGGGGACCTGGGCCTGGAGGTGGCTCCTGCCCTGTTAGTGCCTGTTCTACCCCCAGCAATGGGTAGAGCCTTTGTCCTGGACAGCATCTGGAAGGTGAAGACACTGCTGAGCACAGAGTCCTCACATGTACCCATCAAAGTGCCCGGGCTGTGCTGCAAGGCCAGCCTCTGGGAACGGCAGGCTGGATGGGCCCCCTGCAGCTGGACCTGGGTGCCTGTTGTCTGGGATGTCAGCTTCTAGCTGCTTCTCTAGGACACTGGGGCCCCTGAGTGCAAGTCTAGGCCTTGGGTCTGTCTCCGTCCTTCTTCTGCCTTGTTTTGCCCACGGCTGCCCTTGGCCCCTGGAGGGCACCTGCTTCTCCACAGCCTCCTCCCCTGCTGCGGCGCCTACCCACTGCATTCCATAGTAGAGCCCCCTGGTTATGTGGGGGACCATCCAGGGGTTCCGGCCTGTGCCCCCAGCCACCCCTGCTGACCACCTGTGGGATGGCCCTGTGCATGCCTGGTGTCCTAGCAGAGCTGTTCCTCTCTGGCCACCTTGGATGCCACTTGAGCAGCAGCTTTTGTGGGACACTTGTGCAGTAGTCACTGCCAGGGCCAGCGCCAGAGCCAGCTGTCCCTAAGACCTGTCCCCTGAGACCTGTGGGTAGGGGAGCCATGTCCAGCCCAGTAGCCATGAGCACACACATTGCCAGGCACTGAAAATGAATCTAGTGTGCCCCCAGACCCTGAATTTTAAACGTCATTAATCTGTTAACTAAGTGCATTTGTTTGCTTGGTTTAATTAACCTCCAGCAGCCCCTCCCCTGTGGCTGGAGCTTCTGTCTGGTCCTCAGGTTGGCTGTCCAGGCCGTGTGGTGGGGCCTGGGAGGAGGAGCCCTGGGCTGAGCCTTCTGGGGAGGAGGGGGTGCCGCAGGCTCTGGCCAGCCTGACTCTGTTCTTCTTTCCAGGTGTGTCACCTGCAGCCCCCACCAGGGTTGAGTGTGGGCCTGGGCAGCATGGTGCCCTCTGGCCAGGTGGCGGAGAAGGAGGCATCCGAGGAGCCTGGACCCGGCCGTGAGCCCCGCTCATGGCGATGCCTGGTGCTCTTCCTCTGCTTCTACGGCTTCATGGCCCAGATGCGGCCCGGGGAGAGCTTCATCACGCCCTACCTCCTGGGGCCCGACAAGAACTTCACCCGGGAGCAGGCACGTGGGTGTGGGCTGTAGGGGCCATGTTTCACAGGTGGGCAGGGGGGCAAGGGGGCTCTTGATGCATGGGCAGCTGAGGCTGGAGAAGGTAAGTGGCTGTGTGAGCACAACTCAGGGGCCCGAGGGCTCTGGGCGGGTCCTGGACCCCATGCTCCCCACAGTGGGCACTGTCGGAGGGAGGGGCCCTGCTTTGACACATTCTTCAGGCCAGTTAGAAGGGTCTTGGGTTCTAAGAGATGAAGCACAGGTCTAAGGTGCTGCCCCCACCCCGCCAGGCCCCTCATCTACCATCCCGGTGGAGCCCGTGTCCAGCCATGGGGGCACCTGCCTCCAGCCAGGAGCCAGCAGGTATCTGCCTAGAGGTTGTCAAAGGAATGTCCTTTCACTTGTTTCACTTGGCTAGGGGCACACAGGGTCCATTGAAACCCTGTAATGGGCTTATGTGCAGACATGCAGCCCAGGGCCCTGCGTGGCCCAGTGCTGGGGTCATTTCCTCCTTGAGTTTGCACGGTGTGCTGTGTAGAATGTGGTCAGAGAGAAGGAGCATGGAGGATAGCCCTCACCCCGCACGCTCACCGCTTGGCCAGAGGCTTCTCTGCTCTCGACCCGGGGCTGCAGTCCACCGTCATCATGGATAGGAACAAGCGTGTGTGTGAAGCACCCTTTATAGTAAGATGGAAACCCCTCGCAGAGATGTTTACTGGTCCTGCCTTCCCGCCCTCTCACATTCCACACTGATTAGAAAGTAGACTGCAGAGGTCACACCGTCCCAGTAGACCTTGGAGTCCTCGGGGACTGTGGTCTCAGGCTTTGCCCTCTGGCCCCATAGGCCAGTCCTCTGGTCTCAGCCCCTCTGGCTGCAGGGACTGAGCAGGCCAGTGCTTGCTGGGCCTGGATCCACAAGTTCACGTAAGTGGTGTCTAATGACACCTCTTTTGGAACCTGCCTCCTGCCCATCTGATGGGGGACATTCATCTGTGTGGATTCAGGGCCGGTCCTGCTGGAGTCTCGCCTATAGTTGAGCCACAGACCATTTCTCCAGTGCTTCTCGGTGGGGGAGGAGCTTCTGCTTTGGGTGTAAGAATTTGTCAGAATCCTCAGGTCTGGGGTATAGGGAGCATTCTGGGACCCTAGGGGCGTTCCCAGCTTGCTTGGCTGGACGTGCCTCCTGCAGTGTGCCACAGGCTCCTGGGTCCTGGCCTGGGGCCGTGGTCTGTCATCAGGCTCTCGAGGCAGAGAGCAAATGTCGTCCGTTAATTGAGATGAAGGCCCTTGGCCACCTTCTCCAGGCCCTCCCTCTGCCTGGCCTTCCTGTGTAGGTGCTGGGTGCAGTCTGGGCTCTGGCCTGTGGGCTGGGCCTCCAGCTGCTGCCTTGCCACCCGTCTTGTCCACTTCCCTCCTTTTTCCCTCTCACCACAGCCCCCTGCCCACCCAGGTCCTGTGTAACCCATCCACTGACCTCCTTTGTCCTGTCCTGCCCTCTGGAAGGGCTGAGGTGGCTCAGGTGGTACCTACTGCCCACAGTGCTGTTTTTCATGTTGTATTTAAGGTGAAACCAAATTCTGAGTCCAGGAAAAGCAAGTCAGTCCAGATTACCACTACCTAGGATGTAATGGGTCGTTTTCAGTGGTAATGGCCACTTCCTGTGGCGGCTGCTGCCTCCTTCTGATTGCCTGGGGTCGGCAGTTTCTTGGGCTACAGGCTCTCCAGTCCCAGGTCCCCCTGGCATGCCTGGACAGGGTACTCCGCAGGGAGCCATGTGGGCATTTGACTCATGGTGGCAAGGCAGCCGTTGCCACAGAAAGTGGTCAGCAGGGATGGCTGCGGCAGTGTGGGCCCCTGCTTGGTCACCCCTGTGCACTTAGCAGAGTGGTCAGTGTTCCTCACAGCGGCTGCTCCCTGTCCGCAGGTGACCAACGAGGTCATTCCGGTGCTGTCCTACTCCTACCTGGTGGTGCTGGTCCCGGTCTTCTTGCTCACCGACTACCTGCGCTACAAGCCCGTGCTGGTGCTGCAGGGCCTGAGCTACGTGAGTGTGTGGCTGCTGCTGCTGCTGGGCCACTCTGTGCTGCACATGCAGCTCATGGAGGTCTGCTACAGCGTCACCATGGCTGCCCGCATCGCCTACTCCTCCTACATCTTCTCCCTGGTGCACCCTGCCCGCTACCAGCGCATGGCCAGCTACTCGAGGACCGCGGTGCTGCTGGGCGTCTTCACCAGCTCCGTGCTGGGCCAGCTGCTGGTCACCGTGGGCCGGATGTCCTTCTCCATGCTCAACTACATCTCCCTGGCCTTCCTCAACTTTAGCCTGGTTCTCGCCCTCTTCCTGAGGCGTCCCAAGCGCAGCCTCTTCTTCAACCGCAGTGCGCCTGCACGTGGAGCCTCACCCAGCGAGCTGGACCAGATGCACCCGGCCCCTGACCAGCCTGTGCGCGGGAAGCTGGGGCGTGCTCTGGGTGCCTGCAGGGACTCCTTCTTGGCACACATGCTGTGGGAGCTGGTGGGCAGTGCGCGGCGGCCACAGCTGCGCCTCTGGTCCCTTTGGTGGGTCTCCAACTCTGCTGGCTACTACCTGATAGTCTACTACGTACACGTCCTGTGGAACGAGGTGTGCCCCACCGCCAGCAGCACGCAGGTCTACAACGGCGCCGCAGACGCTGCCTCCACACTCCTGGGTATGTGGAGCCCTGTCCTCCAAGCCCTCACCTGGGCCATGACCAGCACTCCCACCCAACACCAGCCCGAGCCCCCCCTTCTTGGGCCTGGCCCCCAGCACTCCCACCTCCAGCCCAGCTAGCTCCCACCATTGGCCTGCTTCCCTGCCCCCCAGTGCAAGCTGCACAGCCCGTACCCAGCCCCCTCCCTGGCCTCCCTTTGCTCTACCCGGCCCTAGCGTGACCGTGACATCTCCTGTCCCCAGGTGCCATCACGTCCTTTGCCGCAGGCTTTGTGAATATCCGCTGGGCTCTGTGGTCGAAGGTGGTCATTGCGAGCATCCTGGCCGTGCAGGCCGGGCTGGTCTTTCTCATGACCAGCACCCAGGACATCTGGCTCTGCTACGCAGCTTTTGTGCTCTTCCGCGGCGCCTACCAGTTCCTTGTGCCCATCGCCACGTGAGTGGGCCGAGGGGAGGGACTAGCAGGAGGTTCTGCAGGGAGCAGCAGGTGTGCGCATGGGTAGCAAGGGCAGGCCTGTGGACGACTGGCCTTGTTCACAGGTAGCTGAGGTCCACCACATCCCTCTGGCTCCCTGCCCCAACCTGCCAGCCCCCCGGGACCCCTGCACTGCCCCTCGCCCAGACCCTCTGGGCTCTTCTCTGAAGCTGCCTGGGCACTACCGCCAGCTGAGAGGGCCCACTCTGCATGCCAGGCTCTTTCTGTGTATACACCAGATGTGTGTAACACACTCACACTTACCACACGCCATGCAGTCACGTGCTCTTGCTCACACTGTCCACGCAGGTGCTGCCTCCCTCGGCCTCCCACTCCCCTGCCCACCCTTCCCAGGGCTGCCCTGCCTCCCCCCCCACTAGGGCCGTGGGCCCCCATACACTGTCAGCACACACGCCCCTGCCCTGGGAGCGCTGAGCCCGTCTTGCCCCACCTGCGGGATGTGGCCTGCACCTGGACTTCCCTGCCCTCTGCACCTTGAACGCTTGCTCTCTTGGGTACTGGAAGTGGGGCTCAAACCCAGGGTCCTTTCTGTCCCATCCTGACCACACTCTGGGTTGCAGACCTCCCTGGTCTGTGGCCGCTGTCCCCACGCCTGCCCCTCATGTCTCCCACGTCCCAGTCTGCCTTCTCCCTAGGAGGCCCTCTTGACCCTGCCCCCAGCCTGTGGAGGCCCACAGTGTTTCTGAGGTGGGACTCACCTCTGCTGCCTGTCCACTTTGACAAGGGCACTAGGCTGGTGTGGCCATCCCAGGCTATCAGGCATGTTTGGCTAGTCACGAAGGGTGTGGGGCCCACTATGCGGGCCCCAGACAGTGTGGGAAGCACGTGGGAGGAGCAGACGTGGCCACAGGGCACAGGTGCTGCAGAGCCACACCAGGCTTTTCCCTGGGCCATGTGCAGGTCACTCCTGGAACAGCCAGACCCCGGTGACTGTGAGGTCAGTTCCTGCTGCTGGTGGCCACAGTGCTGAGCTGGCTTCCTGTCTGCACTTTCCCTTCCACATTCTGATGGTGGCTCACAGGTGGCTGCCTGCAGGGGAAGGCCAGGAGAGGGCCTGAGCGGGGGTTCCGGTGGACGTTGCAGGAACCCCGCAGCCTGTCTGCATGCTTGTCCTCGTGGCACCCCAGCCACGAGCCTCTGACCTGCAGGCCTTTCTTAACTTTATTTTTACTTGTATATTTTTTAACATCAATTTGTTTATTTTTTGGTACCGGGAATTGGACCCAGAGGTGCTTCATCTCTGACCCACATCCCCAGCCTTTTTTTGTTTTTTGAGACAGGTTGCTGAGAGCCTCGCTGAGTTGCCGAGGTTGGCTTTGAACTTGGGGTCCTCCTGCCTCAGCCTCCTGAGCCCATTTTGTATCTCTGGCGCCCTCTGCTAGGTCCCACTGTGGTGGGGTGCTCACCCTGGCTTGGGCAGCTCCCCAGCTGACCTGCAACCCCACCTGCTCTCATGGGCTGCAGCTCCTGTGCGCACTCCTCCTCTGCGAGGTGCTTCGGGTTCTCTTCCTGACCCCAGCGTCCCCTGTCCATCAGTTCTTGGTCGTTCTTTTTCAAAGGTTCTTAGGCATTTTTATTTGAGTGGATTCTAGAACACTTTTGTCCAGTTCTTTCTTTCAAGGAACATGTTCTGGGGAATCCATCAGAACTGCACTCAGATGTCCCTTTCTTTGGGGGCACCAGAGGCCTGGAGGACTTCACTGCCCCTCGTCCCCCGCTATCCCTGTCTCCTGTCCTAATTCCCTGCCTGTCTTCCAGAGAGACCGCCCCTGTGCACGTTCCCCTGCCCCCTGTTCTCGGGAGGACCTCCCGAGCATGTTGTCCCAGGTTCTGTAGGATCTTCCTGCACCTGCACTTGTGCTTCTTGGTGCCTGTCCTACTAGGTCGAGGATGTGGCTCTCTGTGGCCGTGAGGGGCCCGCACTCTGCTTCTGAGCTGGGTGTGCGCCCGAGCTGGGTCTGCCTTGCGGCTGGCTGGTGGTGGGTGGGCATGTGCCTGAAGGAGGGTGGGCTGGGGGGTGCTGTGCTCCTGGGAGCTGTCCGGGTGGCTGTGGGCAGGGCTAGAGGGTACCATAGACTGTACCTGTTGAGCCTCACTGTGCACCTAGGGGCGAGACTGAGAGCAACCCTGTGTGCCTTGGGTGGTCCTGTGTCTGTGACAGGGCCAGGGGCAGAGGTGGGGGAGACTGGGAACAGGCATCTGGGACAGGGCTTTGTGGGGCAGGGCCTGTGGGCAGGCGGGCAGGCTTTTGGTAGCCTATGTGGGTGGGGTTGTGTCTGGGAGCCACATTCCCTCCCTCCCACCACGCTGCATCTGGAGCTCCTCTGGACCCTCCCCGAGGTCCCACTTCAGCCCTGGCTCTTGCTTCCCGTCCTCTCCAGCCTGTCTGACCTGCTCTTCTGCCCAGTTTTCAGATCGCATCCTCTCTGTCCAAAGAGCTCTGTGCCCTGGTCTTCGGGGTCAACACGTTCCTCGCCACCATTCTCAAGACCACCATCACTCTCATCGTGTCTGACAAGCGGGGCCTGGGCCTCCCAGTGCGCTGCCAGGTGAACCCCATTTCACATGGTCCTTTTTGGGAGGGAAGCCATGGTGGGGTCTTGGGAGAGCCTCCTGGTGCCCGCAGGCCCACTGCCTGGGGTGTGCAGAGGGTGGATCACGCTCCTGCCAGGACGAAGAAAGGTGGGCTGCGGCTCACTTCTCCAGAGAGCCCCTGTGCCCTGCTGAGGATGAGCGAGTCGCTGTGGTGGCCTGGGCGGGCACGGCCCCTCAGAGTGCCTCTTCTTTCCCTCCCTGGGTGGGAGGTGCTGGGCCAGGGGAGGCTGGCCCATCAGTTTTTCCTTCTGTAGTTCATACTGTGGGCTGAGTCTGAAGGCGTCTTATTTAGCCCTAACTTCCCCAACATCCTTTGAATGGGTTTATAGTTGTACATGAGCCTGCGGTCCCGAGAGTGAGATTGTGCCTAAGTGTGAGTTAGGCCAAGGTTCATGCCGTAGCCCGAGTGGGTCCTCTGCTCAGCGTGGTTTGTTGAGACTTGACCTTCCTCCGTGAACTGCTTTTACGCCTTTGCACAAGTCCTTTCCTGAGATCTTTATTCCATCCTGAGCTGTGTGCTAACTTTCCACCAACACCACACTGTCTTGGTTACAGGGCTTAATTGTAGGTTTTGAAATTGGTCATACTGATTTCTCCAATTTTGTCTTTTTAAAAAAATTTTCCTACTATTATACCTCTTCGTATTTCTGTGTACGTTTTAGAGTACTGTCTTTACAAAAATTCTTTTGGGATTTTATTAGGAATTGCACTAAGCAAACATCAGTTTGGAGAAAGTTGACATTTATTGTCTTTCTGTCCATGAACATGGTATGCGTCTCCATCTATTTAATAATCTTTGATTTCTTTAACCATCTTAGTTTATAACATTCAAGTATTAAGTGCTCAACATGTTAAATTTATACTTTAAGTTTTTCATTTTGGGGGGCACAATTGTAAATGAGACTATATCTAACGTTTTTTTAAGTATTTATTTTTTTAGTTGTACTTGAATTCAGTCCCTTTATTTTGTTTATTTTAATATGGTGCTCTCATGTGCTAGGCCAGCGCTCTACTGCTGAGCCTCAGTGCGAGGCCAACATCTAACATTCAGTGTCTCTGTGGCTGTATTGGGGCTGTTGTCACACCACAGTCTGGGTGCCTTAAAGAGGAGAAATTCATCTTCTCAGTTGTGGAGGTGGGAGGTCCAGCTGTCTCAGGGCTGGTCCTCAGAGGCCTCTCCCCTTGGCCTGGTGCCTTCTCACTGTGACCTCATGTGGCCTTTTATCTGTGTGGGTATCCACGGTGTCTGTCGTCACCTCAGGGCCACAGTCACACAGGACCAGGACCGCCCTCACGGCCTCATTTGACCTGAGTCACCTCTCTCAAAGCCCTTTGTCCCAGTGAGGCTTCAGGGGCTTGGCTGTCAGCTGTGAATTTGGGGAGAAGGGACTCAGTTCAGTCATAACAATGAGTCGCGTTCCTGAGGGTCTGCAGATCTGTGAAGGTGTGTCCCCTGTGCACCCTGCAGTCCTGCTGAGTCCCCTTCTCCTTTCCTGAGGGTCTGTAGATCTGTGAAGGTGTGTCCCCTGTCCACCCTGCAGTCCTGCTGAGTCCCCTTCTCCTTTCCTGAGGGTCTGCAGATCTGTGAAGGTGTGTCCCCTGTCCACCCTGCTGTCCTGCTGAGTCCCTTTCTCCTTTCCTGAGGGTCTGTAGATCTGTGAAGGTGTGTCCCCTGTCCACCCTGCTGTCCTGCTGAGTCCCCTTCTCCTTTCCTGAGGGTCTGCAGATCTGTGAAGGTGTGTCCCCTGTCCACCCTGCTGTCCTGCTGAGTCCCCTTCTCCTTTCCTGAGGGTCTGCAGATCTGTGAAGGTGTGTCCCCTGTCCACCCTGCAGTCCTGCTGAGTCCCCTTCTCCTTTCCTGAGGGTCTGCAGATCTGTGAAGGTGTGTCCCCTGTCCACCCTGCAGTCCTGCTGAGTCCCCTTCTCCTTTCCTGAGGGTCTGCAGATCTGTGAAGGTGTGTCCCCTGTGCACCCTGCAGTCCTGCTGAGTCCCCTTCTCCTTTCCTGAGGGTCTGTAGATCTGTGAAGGTGTGTCCCCTGTCCACCCTGCAGTCCTGCTGAGTCCCCTTCTCCTTTCCTGAGGGTCTGTAGATCTGTGAAGGTGTGTCCCCTGTGCACCCTGCAGTCCTGCTGAGTCCCCTTCTCCTTTCCTGAGGGTCTGTAGATCTGTGAAGGTGTGTCCCCTGTGCACCCTGCAGTCCTGCTGAGTCCCTTTCTCCTTTCCTGAGGGTCTGCAGATCTGTGAAGGTGTGTCCCCTGTGCACCCTGCTGTCCTGCTGAGTCCCCTTCTCCTTTCCTGAGGGTCTGTAGATCTGTGAAGGTGTGTCCCCTGTGCACCCTGCAGTCCTGCTGAGTCCCTTTCTCCTTTCCTGAGGGTCTGCAGATCTGTGAAGGTGTGTCCCCTGTGCACCCTGCAGTCCTGCTGAGTCCCCTTCTCCTTTCCTGAGGGTCTGTAGATCTGTGAAGGTGTGTCCCCTGTCCACCCTGCAGTCCTGCTGAGTCCCCTTCTCCTTTCCTGAGGGTCTGCAGATCTGTGAAGGTGTGTCCCCTGTGCACCCTGCTGTCCTGCTGAGTCCCCTTCTCCTTTCCTGAGGGTCTGTAGATCTGTGAAGGTGTGTCCCCTGTGCACCCTGCTGTCCTGCTGAGTCCCTTTCTCCTTTCCTGAGGGTCTGCAGATCTGTGAAGGTGTGTCCACTGTCCACCCTGCTGTCCTGCTGAGTCCCCTTCTCCTTTCCTGAGGGTCTGCAGATCTGTGAAGGTGTGTCCCCTGTCCACCCTGCAGTCCTGCTGAGTCCCCTTCTCCTTTCCTGAGGGTCTGCAGACCTGTGAAGGTGTGTCCCCTGTGCACCCTGCAGTCCTGCTGAGTCCCCTTCTCCTTTCCTGAGGGTCTGCAGATCTGTGAAGGTGTGTCTCCTGTGCACCCTGCTGTCCTGCTGAGTCCCTTTCTCCTTTCCTGAGGGTCTGCAGATCTGTGAAGGTGTGTCCCCTGTGCACCCTGCTGTCCTGCTGAGTCCCCTTCTCCTTTCCTGAGGGTCTGCAGATCTGTGAAGGTGTGTCCCCTGTCCACCCTGCAGTCCTGCTGAGTCCCCTTCTCCTTTCCTGAGGGTCTGCAGATCTGTGAAGGTGTGTCCCCTGTGCACCCTGCAGTCCTGCTGAGTCCCCTTCTCCTTTCCTGAGGGTCTGCAGATCTGTGAAGGTGTGTCCCCTGTGCACCCTGCAGTCCTGCTGAGTCCCCTTCTCCTTTCCTGAGGGTCTGCAGATCTGTGAAGGTGTGTCTCCTGTGCACCCTGCTGTCCTGCTGAGTCCCTTTCTCCTTTCCTGAGGGTCTGCAGATCTGTGAAGGTGTGTCCCCTGTGCACCCTGCTGTCCTGCTGAGTCCCCTTCTCCTTTCCTGAGGGTCTGCAGATCTGTGAAGGTGTGTCCCCTGTCCACCCTGCAGTCCTGCTGAGTCCCCTTCTCCTTTCCTGAGGGTCTGCAGATCTGTGAAGGTGTGTCCCCTGTGCACCCTGCTGTCCTGCTGAGTCCCTTTCTCCTTTCCTGAGGGTCTGCAGATCTGTGAAGGTGTGTCCCCTGTGCACCCTGCAGTCCTGCTGAGTCCCCTTCTCCTTTCCTGAGGGTCTGCAGATCTGTGAAGGTGTGTCCCCTGTCCACCCTGCTGTCCTGCTGAGTCCCCTTCTCCTTTCCTGAGGGTCTGCAGATCTGTGAAGGTGTGTCCCCTGTCCACCCTGCAGTCCTGCTGAGTCCCCTTCTCCTTTCCTGAGGGTCTGTAGATCTGTGAAGGTGTGTCCCCTGTCCACCCTGCAGTCCTGCTGAGTCCCCTTCTCCTTTCCTGAGGGTCTGCAGATCTGTGAAGGTGTGTCCCCTGTGCACCCTGCAGTCCTGCTGAGTCCCCTTCTCCTTTCCTGAGGGTCTGCAGATCTGTGAAGGTGTGTCCCCTGTGCACCCTGCAGTCCTGCTGAGTCCCCTTCTCCTTTTCTGGTTGCTTTAGACTTGTTCTCTCTTAGGTTTTGGAGACCTCCTCTTTGACTAGTGAGCATTTCACAGTGTGTCCCTTAGTTTCCAAAGTCGTCTTTCTGTTGTTAGTTTTTTTCTTATTCTCTGGTGGTCAGAAAACACATACTCTGTGATTTGAGAGCTTCTGAATCTGTTGAGCAGAACTTTGTCTGTGTTGATGTGTGCTTTGCTGTTGCCTGAGAAGGATGTGGACCTGCATGCCTTCCCCCCGGCTGATGTGTTGTTCTGTTGTTGGTGAGAGGGCCGTGGAACTCTCCTGGATAACTGTGGCTCTGCTTGGCCCTCCTTCCATTTCTCCCGTGTTTGTGGCTCTCTAGTGTGCTGCATATGCACGTGGCAGGGCCTGCAACTGCACTTTCCATCGCTACATCTGTGGCCCCTGCCTCTCTGAAGTCAGCCTGTCCTCAGGCCAGCCCCCCTGCTTCCCAGTATGCACAGGCATGAGGCAGCCTCTCCCCTCACTTCTGGCCTGCCCTCTAAGCTACCTGAGTGAATTTATTGCAGACAGCGGGGAGTTGTGTCCTGTTTTAAATCCATCCGTGCAGTCTCTGCCCTGGGCTTGGTGTGTTTGGGCCATTTATATTTAATGTAGTACTTTACCTATTAGAGATCAAGTCCAGCATCCCAGTGTTCATTCTCCATTTTTCCTGCTTTCAGCTTCTGTTTTCTTTTTGAGACTTCTGATGTGTTTAGAACTTGGACCTTTATCTCTGGGAGTGTGTTTGGTGGCTTTGTTGGTTGCTGGTGTCACGTTGTGGCAGGGGAAGCCTTGGTGTTGGGCCTCCCTGCTCGTGGTGCGCTTGTCCACAGCCCGAGGCCCGCTGCGCCCTGCGGTGGTCCACTCTGTGCTGCCTGCTGTCTCTCCTCCCTTCTGTCTTCCCCTGTCTGTTTAGACAACTTCTGCCACTGTCTGCGAGAGGCCTGCTGGTCATCTGAGTCTGTCCTGGTTTCTCTCCTGGTCCTGTGGCCTCTCCTGCTGCTCTGCCAAGGCCATCTGCTTCTCTGTTGGTCTCCAGTGCGTGTCTTGCTGCCCGTGAGGCTGTTCACGGTGTCTGCTTGGAAGGCCGTCGCAGACCTTGCAGCACTGCCGTCTGGGTTGGCCTCCAGTGGCCCTCGCTGGGCGGGAGGCCTGGTGGCTGTGAGTGCTGCGAGTGGGGACTGGCCCCATGGCAGCTCCCGCAGAAGCGGTGGGGTATGCAGCTGGCACAGCCAGGCCCTGTGACACCAGGGCCCCCCCCCCACTGCCTGGGCTGGGAGCCCCTGCTCCCCATAGTCCCTTGAAGCCCTGGGGGCAGCGTCCTCTCCTTGGGGTCTCTGATGCCCCCCAGTGTAGAGGGGCATGGGAGCCTTCTCACCACCCGCTGGGGTGAGTCCAGACCCCTGTGTGGCCACTGCCGACTTTTGGGGTTGTCACACTCACTCTGGGGCCCTCCTTCAACCTCGTGTGGGCAGGTGGGCTGGTGGGAGCAGAGGCTCCTGGGGAGTCTCCCCGTTGCTGGCTGGCCCTCCTGGTCCTTCGGGCCTTCTTCCCCGTCAGTCAGCATCTCGAGGTTGCTGCTTCTACAGTTCCAGATACGTGAGGCAGAGACCAACCCAGCGGCCTGCCATCACGTGGCGGAGGCCTGGTGGTGGGCTCCTTCCCCACCTGTCCACCTACTTGCTCTGACGGTCTGAGGAGTCCTGGGGTTTGGGGACAGGGACAGGGAGAGGTGACCTCTTGGGAGCCGAGTTCTCACCGACTCTTTTAATAGTGCCCGCCCTAGAGGGCGCTGGAGCCCCACCTGCTGGTGCTGAGAACCCTCTGCCTTCTAGACCCCAGTACCTGGGTCGGTCTGGTCCCTCCCTAGTGTCCCAGGGACGAGGAGGAGATACTTCTGCAGCTGGCCTGGCTCTTCCCAGTTGTTGCCGTGCAACTCCTGCCTCTGAGCTGGAGCCGGGGCATGCAGAGGGAGCAGCAGGCGGCCTGCTGCCCTAGACGCCCTGGTCTGGCTCTGCTGAGGGAAAGCCTGCGTCGCCGGTGTTTTCCGAGGTCTCAGGGTAGCTGTGGAACCCAGCCCACGGCACCAGAGTCTGGGGAGCAGCCTGGGGAGGCCACGCGTGGGCAGGACACACACCAGGGGCTCTCTGGGGAGAGGTGGCAGGAGCCCCTCAGGACTCACCAGTGGGCAGTGGGCATCCTGCGACCCGCTCCAGCCCGAGTGCGAGTTCTGGAGCAGCCCTGGCGGGCTGGGGAGCCAGGAGCAGGCGCCCCGACGGGGCCGCGAGGCCTGCGCGGGGCCGGCACCCTCACCCACCCTCTCTGCTCTAGTTCCTCATCTACTGTGTGTACTTCCTGGTGCTGTCTGTCATCTACTTCTTGGGAGCCGGGCTGGACGGTCTGCGGCACTGCCAGCGGGACCGCCACCAGCCCCTGCCCCTGGCACAGGAGCTGAGGAGCCCCTCGGAGGAGAAGCCTGTGCGGCTGCCGAGTGTGGAACAGGGCCTGGGCGGCCTTCAGCCCTCGGCCCCACCACTGCCCCTGGAGGACAGCGCAGAAGATGGCCTTGGGACCTTGGGGCCTGGGGCCAAGGCCTGACACGGCCTGACCTCCCCCAGCAGGTTCCACACTCTGTCCTGACAGCCCGGCCTGACGGGCCGACGAGCCCCAGCACCGTCAGACTCCCCCTCGCGGAGGGCGGGCCTTGTGTGGGTGCCCCCTTGCAGTGCCTGGCGTGGGGGGGGGCCTCCTCGGGCCTTAGCACTGGGGGCCTCGGACCCCCACCCCTCAGCCCTGCTCCACTCTGGATGTGGCCCACACCTCGGGCGACTGTGGACTGGGCTGGGCTTGCCTGCTGAGGGGCCCGTGGTGGGGTCCCCGGGGTCTACCAGGCCTCCCTGCCTGCACCCCCTGGGGAGGCTGGAGGCAGATGCTGTGTCCCCAGGGGCTGGCATGCTGGCCCCACGGGCCTGGGGCTCTCATTTACTGTGACACTTCCCCACATCCTAGGTGCTTGCATTGTGGACGATGCTGTTTTTATATCTGTAAAACGAGGAACCGTTTGGCTTCTCCGTTGTGTGCGAGAAGCTGGTCTCAGGGGTGTGACAGAAAACCCATCAGATGGAGTGGTGGCTTGGGGCCCTCAGAGCCAGTCCTTCACCAAGGGTTCAGCCCAGGGCCTTTAGTTCTTTCCTCTGTTCCCGGAGTGACCTGAGATCAGGGCGGCTTGGAGCTGGTCATACGCTTTGGACGGTCAGAGAGGACTATGGACGTGCAACCTTGATGTGAACTGGGCTTGTTGGGAGCAGTAGGACCTTCTGGGGAGGTCTGCCTTCCTGGGGAGGTCTGCGTGCCAGTGGCCTCTGGGTCCGAGCCGGTTGCGTGTCCCTCTGTGACAGGAGGGTCTCTTGTGAACACTTTACCCAAATAAACCTGGAACCTGAGTGTGAGGGTGCTGACCCCAGGCCCTGGCAGCCAGGGACCCACCAAGGCCAACAGGTTAAGTGGGCACCTTGGGGGACGCAGGGTCCAGGAGGTGGCATGTGAAGGTGGCCAGGCCCGAGCTGAGAGTGTTCAGGGCGGTGGGCCCAGGCAAATCCACACAGGAAGGGCAGCCCTGTGCCAGAGGCCAGGCTGTGGAGGGGACAAGAGCGTGACACCCCGTCGCCCTGTGCTGGGCCACTGCAGCAATGCAGGCTCCGTGGGCACCCACAAAGGAGCCCTGGCCTGTAGCTGGCCGCTGCACTTGGCCACACAGGCTGTGAGCACTCGAGTTTCTCTGCCGCTCCTGGGCGCCCTGCTGGCTGCAGGGGAGGGACAGAAACACTGTCCCTGGGGTCAGGTCCTGCCAGGACCCAGCACTTGAGTTCACACAGACCTGAGGCATGGTTTTGAGGTCAGCCTGGGCACTGCTGGCTGCCAGGGGGCCCCACCAGAAAAGGGTGCCCGCAGTGTGTGTCATGCGTCTGTGCACATCTGCACACCAGATGCCTATTCACGTGCTCTGACACCCAAGCACGCTGTGTGCCAGCAGGGGGACACCCAGGGACAGAGGGCTCACTCCGCAGGGCTCTGCTCTTCTCACGTGGGGAAACTGCTCACAAACATGGTCTCCGTGGAAGGGCATTTTATTTGGTGCCTATTTGAAATGGCTTTGAAACACACAGGGGCAGAACCAGCCCCCCAGTCCTCAGACAGCAGATCCCGAGGTAGGGGTGTGTTGGCACTGTGGCTGTGGGCAGCCCAGCGTGGCCCTGAGCACACACACTGCCAGACTTCTGGACTTCCGAGCATAGCGGAGCACTGGGACAGCCACAGCCTGACTTGTGAGCCCCACAGAACTCCTGCTCCGACTTGGCTGGGGTCAAGTTCCAATCAGATCTGGTGTGGTCTTGGGTCACCTGGGAGGCCAGCCAGGGAGAGGCCTGAAGGACCCCACGTCGGCCGGCTCTGGGGAAAGCCGCAGACACACCAAGTCCAGCCACACTCCTGGCCCTGCACAGTGTTGAGGAACATGGCCCGACCTGGGGTGGCTGTGGCCCTGAGCTTGGACTCTGCTCCAGTGGGGGCACTGTGGTTGCTGTAGAGTGCAGGAAGCCGAGGAGAGGTGGCCCTTGCCCCATGCCTGGCTGTCCTGTTCACCACCTGAGCAAGCCCATGCCTGTCTGCCTCTGGCACAGCCTGAGTGGGAGGGGGGGGCCCAGGTGCCCTGCAGACCAGGTGTCAGCACCCGACATCTTGCTGGTCTGCCAGTGGGACTGGGTCTTGTGCACAGCCAAGGTGGAGGCAGGAGAGTGGCAGGGGGCCCTTCCCAGTGCCCGGGAGCTCAGGAGCCTGCAGGTGGGGTAAGCACAGGTCTCTGGGCTGGAAGTCCTGCGTCAGCCTCTTGCTGAAATCCAGCTGAGGTCTGATTTGGGCCCTGACAGACTGGCCAGCATAGGCCATCAGGGGAGTGGCGGGAAGCCTTGGCATCGGGCTTTCTGTTGTAAACTTTTAGAAAACTACTCTCTTTGGCTTCCTTTTATTTCTGGAGGATTACATGAAATGTGGACTGTGTAGAGATGTCCCAGCCAGGTCCTGGGGGTTGGCTAGGTGCTCCCTGCCCTGTGCCTGTCCTGAGAGCCCGGCTCCATGCACTTCCGAGCCAGCAGAGACCCTATTAGGAGGAGGAGGTCATGAAACTGTTCTCGATGCAGAGGACCACATAGGCGTCGCGGCAGCTTGTGGCTTCCTGTTCCAGCAGTCTGCCCGCCAGCAGTGGGGATGCCTGGCCCATGGCTCCAGCAGCCTCTGTCCGCCACGCCTCACAGTAGCTCTCCGTCAGCCTGCGCCCACTGGGGTCTGAGCCATGCCATACACTCTTCTGGGGCCTGCAAGATGCACCTGGCTGTCAGTCACGCCCACACCCACCCCTCGGCAAGCAGAGACCCCTGCCCCCGGGGGAGGAAAGGTGAAGGCCAGCAGCTAGCTGGCCCTGGGCAGAGGGAGGCCGCGAGGTCCATGCTTTCCTTAGCTCCACTTCCTGGGTCCACCAGCTGCAGAAGGGGTAGGTGTTGGGGCAGAGTCTGGACCAGGCAACCTCAGGGCCAGTCTTGCCCAGCTGGGTGGACCTGGCTCCCGGCAACCCTCACTGACAAAGGGAGCCAGGTGCTGCCTGGCTAGGAGCACCTCCACCTACAGGGCGTCCTGTTCCACAGTCCCACCCGTGGCTCTCAGGCTGGGTGCTTCTCAGAGTGGATGGCCAGCATCTGGGCACCTCCAGGAACACACTGGCCCAGAAGACACCCTAACCACCCTTTCAAAGGCAGGAGCACTGGCAGAACATGCTGTTATAGCGGCAGGTGGAGGGATGCTAGGCGTGAAGCCATTTGGGGGACAGTGGTCATTTCCATCAGTATACAAGCACACACAGCTGACCTGGGACTTTGCCTTGGGCAGTGATTCTCAGGATCATTAGTTCCCTGTGGTGTTTACATTGGGGGCACAGACTGGCCAAGTCACAGATGGTGAGTGTGGAGCTGTCCACCGTGGACAGGGGGCACTTAAGCAGGGATCTCTCCTGCCCCTCTGGGTCTCATGATCATGCATGGGGCAGGGTAGGGCAGGCCAGAGGCTGGGCTCCGTGTTGGGGGCCAGGTGTGCACATCTCTCCTCTAGGGCTCTCCCCATGCTGCCATCCCGTGCACAGGGGACCTACCAGGCAGGGTGCCTCAGGACGTCCCTGCCATCGAAAGAGAAGATGCGGGCCCCGGGCTTCAGCTGGCCCCCGGAGCCGGAAAACAGGGCCTCCCAGCTGGGAGCCAGTACTTCATCCTGTAGAGGGAAGTTGGCAGGGGCTTCCTCAATCTCTGGTCATGCCCAGCCAGTGTCAAGCACCAGGGAGCCCAGCCCCATCCAGGTGCCTCAGCAGACCCTCACCACCCTTTAGCCATATGCTGGGATCCTAGACTAAGGCCGAGGGGTCTCTGTTCCTCATGCTGGCCTCCTGCTCCCAGCCACCCTCCCCAGTCTTGGGCCTGGGGTCTGCACATCCACCGTCGGTGGTCCTGAGAGACTCCAGAGCCATGGAAGGAAGCCATGTGAGGGGTACAGTGGCAGGGCTGCTGGGCTGGGTGGCACAGATGTATTAGGGCATTTCCCAACCTGGCGGGTGTGTGAGGACCTGTCACTTGTGAGCATGCCCAAGGCTTCCTGGAAACATCGGGTTGCCCTCCCGCACCCACCGTGCCTGCCCGGGAGTCAGCCTCCAGGCCCCTTGGAGGAAGCCTCTGCCGGGGAAGGACCCTCAGAGCAAGCCCCAGCCCAGGCCTGGGTCCATCTGGGGACACCCTCGCGAGCCCAGGGCCCCACAGGACATGTTCCGCTCACCTTGAGGTTGACGATGGGAATGGTCCCACGGTCAGCACGGCGCACGATGCTGTAGAGGTCCTGCAGCCGCGAGGACAAGAAGGCACGGAAGGTGCCAGCCAGCCCCACAGCTCGGGCCTGCTGGAAGCACTGGAAGTCGGCCCCTCGGATGCCGCGCATGCCGCCCGAGAGTGGGCTGTTGAGCGCGACCAGGTGGAGCTGCAGGGAGAGGCTGACACTGCATCCCAGATGACCTCAGAGGCCCTGGGGACAGCACCGAACCCCTGCACACCTACAGTACCACATGGACAGGCACGGAAGGCTGAGCCCCAAGTGCCTTCTGATGGGTGCCAGAGGACAGCCAGACCACCAGCCAGGGCGGCAGAGGCCGGTGCTGTGGTCCCAGGAAACACCCCGACATGGACCCTGATGTCCTTCCCCATGAGCTCTGCTTGACTGGTCCAGAGCAGTGGGCCAACCTGGCTGTGTGAGCTCCTCTGCCACCTGGAGCCTCTAGGACCTCAAGGGGACTGACAGCCACTTGGCCATGAGAGGACGAGCCTCAGGCTGGACAGTGGCCACCCTGTGTGGCACTGCCTAGTCAGAAGCCCACCTGCAATGCAGCTGTGGCTGCCAACCCCCTTTACACTGCCCTGAGGACTAAGGGGCCAGGTGGACAAGTACCCACTTTGGGGTCACTCACCACCGGCTGGAAGTCCTGATGGGTGTGGGCAGGTGAGGCTGTGGGGCGGGCTGGCCGGAGATGCACATAGGAGCCGTGGTGGTGCGGAGCTCCAGGGTAGGGCTGGGGATCGGGGAGGCGCTGGGGGCTGGCCAGGGTGTCGTCTGCTCTCCAGGGGCGCACGGTGGAGTAGGAGTGCTCCCTCCGGGGATATGAGTTGCCCTCGTGCAGCTGCACCACTGGGGGCTGGCGGACAGCCACTTCATTGTCCTGCAGGTCCAGGTGCAGGTCTGTGCAGTGGGCTCCCACACACCAGGACCCTCCTCCCCCTGCATGTCCTTTTCTGCACTTGGAGGGGGTGTGGCTTCAAGATGACAGGCAGGGAGCTCCACCCAGACCCTGGGGGACCCTGGGTATAGGGGCAGGAGGGGTGGGAGCCCAGCCAGCTCTGGATACTTGAGTCATTGGACTTGCTCTCTGCTCAGCCTGACACACTGCATAGCATACGGCCTCGTTCCTGAGCCACCCCTTGTCCACCCACCCAGCTGCCTACCATCCAGGTACCAATGGTCCACCCATCCACCACCCACCTGTACATTTCTCTATCCACCTACCCACTCATCCATCCACCTAGCTACCTGTCCATTCATCCATTTACCTATCCACCTGTCCATTCATCTGTATATCCATCCATCCACCCACCAACCCACCTGTCTGTCCATCCATTCATCCATCTATCCGTCCATCCATCTACCAATCCTCCTGTCCATCCATCTACCAACCCACCTGTCCATCTATCTGTATGTCCATCCATCTATTCACCCGTGCATCCACCAACCACCTGTCCATCCACCACCCACCAACCCACCTGTCCATCCATCTATCCACCTATCCACCTGTCCATTCATCCACCAACCCACCTGTCCATCCATCTGTATGTCCATTCATCCATCTATCCGTCCATCCATCTACCAATCCTCCTGTCCACCCATCCATCCACCAACCCCCCGTCCATCTATCTGTATGTCCATCCATCCATCCACTCACCCACCAACCCACCTGTCCATCCATCCATCCACCTATCCATTCATCCACCAAGCCATCACCAGCTCACCTGTCTATCCATCTGTATGTCCATCCATCCACCAACCCACCTGTACATCTGTCCACCAACCCACCTATTCTTCTGTTCAGCCGCCCACACCCATTCACCCTGGGGCATGCCTAGCACTGCAGGTGAGGAAAGATACAGAGGAGGACGCTGGCCCAGGGACTTCGAGGCTGAGGAGGGCAATGAGGTGCAGACACAACTGAAGCCAGTGGCAGTGTCCCTGTGGGTCTTCATCCTCTCCCCAGCAAGGACACCCTGATAGCACACATGCAGCTCCAGGATTCCAAGCACCAAGTGTGTGATTCCAGAAACATGTCAGTGCAGGCCCGGAGTCCCCTGCTGAGCCCCAGAGTTGTGCAGAGAGAGCATCTCCTTACCGTGCTGGATGGCAGAGGGATCCGGGCCTCCAGCTGCAAGGCAACAGCAGGGTCACTCTGACACGGCCACAGCCTACCCCATCTGCTCATCCCTCCCCCAAATGAGCCCTCCCACCAGGGCAGAGGCCACCCAGGGTGCTTCCCAGAAACAGGCACTTGTGGCACCCGGTCCGTGTCTGCTGATAAGCCCACAGCCTGTCCCTGGCCAGCAGGGGCCCTGGGGGGGCACCACGGGGTCTGGCTAGGCCTGGGGACAGGCAATGGAAACCCGGACACCCAGAAGTTCAGCTCAGGTGGACAGAGACTCCCAGGGATGAGGTGGGCTACTGAGGGCACAGCTGGCTGCCCGGTCCTCACGTTTGCTACACAGGTAAGACGCAGCCCCACAGCCCCAGGAGTGCCGGCTGGGCCCCTCCTGGTCCTGGGGAGCAGGAGCGAGGCTGGGTGTGTGAGCCCCGATGTGTCACAGGAGCTGGGCAGCCAAGATGTGTGCGAGGGTCCCCCACAGCGGGGTTCAGAGCACACCATGTGGACACAAAGCCGAGCCCTGTCCAGCAGGGCCGAGCCAGGGCACATGGCTCTCGAGGGCCCGACGCCTCTCCTGACTGATGCCTTGCCTCAAGACGGTGTGGGGCTTGCCGTCACAGATGCCCACGTGAGCTCCAGGTGCCCAGCACTAGCACACGTGACACACATAACGTCGTTTCCCTTTACCCAAAATGCTCAAAAGTAGTTTGATGAGTTTTTAAAAAGTGACAAGTGGCAGGAGCCTTGCTTGGGGACACCTGGCCCTGCTGTGGGTGCTGTTGAGGGCCCGGCCATTGCTGGGTGGGCGTGGGCTCCTCGCCTTCCTCAAGCCCCATGCCTCGCATCTCCCCAGGTTACGCCTGGCGGGCCCTCTGTGTACAGGGAGAGTGCTGCCCAGAGAACTCACCAGAACTTTCCGGAACCCGTTTCGGACCCGTACATAGAGTTCCTCCCTCTCAGCCACAAAGACGAGCCAGCCCTCGGGTAGCTCTCGTGCCCTGTCCAGCATGGTCTGGTAGGTGGCCCAGATCCTCACCTGCGGGACCCAAGCCTGCATGGGTTCCTGCTGCCCAGAGGCAACTGCTGGGGCCCTGGGGGACGGGGAGGGGAGCAGGGCCTAACCTGGGTGTGGCTTGGGCTGTGTGGACTTCTGGGGGTTCCCTGGGGGAGTTGGCTGAGAGCAGCCAGGACTCTTCTTTGTGGCCACCCATGGGAGGCCCTAGGTGAGTGACCGATGTGGGGCCTAGCCCACACCAGTCCCTCTGCCACGGCCTCTGCACCCAGGGCAGGCCACCCCTCCCCGAGCGTCCCAGACTCCACCCCCACCTGCCTGGAAGCTTACCCCTGAAGAGGTGCCCATGGTTCCAGGGGGCCCTGGGGGGCCAGGTGGGCCTGGGGGGCCAGGGACACTGACAGCTACAAGAAAGAAGCCAAGGTGGCCCTACGCAGCCACGCAGGTGGCTCTGGGGGGAGCCCGACAGGACCCTGCCCAGGCCCACCTCCCCCGACTTACTCTGCCTGTGAGGACCAGGGAATGACGGGGGCCCCGGGGGGCCAGGGGGGCCTGGGGGCCCAGGAGGGCCCTGGCGCCCCTCATAGCCAATGCCAGGAGGTCCCTGAGGTCCGGGTGGGCCCGGCTGGCCCTGGATGCTCTCTCCCTTTGGACCCTGGGAAAAAACCAAAACACGCTGTGTCATGCCCTGCATAGCCAGCCAGGGGTCCCTACAGCGGGAATGGCCTCTGAGCCACAGTCACCTCCCTGCCCCCCAAGGCCCCTCGGCAATCCAGGCAGAAGCGGGCCCATGCTCCCTGGGATTCTCGGGGCAGTGGCAGGACGCAGCCATGAGATAACTGTAAGGTGTCTGAGCCCCTGTGCCCACCCTGGGAGCTGCACTATGTCCCCAAGGGGACTGCCACACCCTGGTCGCAGACAAAGACGTGGGTGGCTTGGGCCCTGAGCTCACAGGCGCTGCCTCAGCCTGGGTGGGCATCAGCAGGCCTGGGTGGGCAGAGTTCAGCCAGCCTGCGGCCCAGTCTTACCGGTATCCCAGGGTAGCCTGGTGGGCCGGGGGGACCTGGGGGTCCAGGCACACTTGAGCTGAAGAATCCGCCGCTGGCCCCTGGCTCCCCCTTCTCTCCTTTCTGTCCAGTGTCCCCCAGGTCCCCCTTGTCTCCCTGCAGAGGGAAATGCTGCTCTGAGAGCCCTGCTGCTGGGTGGGGAGGGCAGTGGGGACACTGACCCCACGAGCCACAGGGGAGGCCTCCCCCATTCCAGAGTGCCAGGGTGCCCAGGGTGCCCTCTGGGGCCAATGCCCCTCAGGGGAGTGAACACGGGTGGTGGCTTGTCTGGGCAGCACAGAAGCCAGCCTCGTCTCAGACTGACACTCAGCACTGAGGACTTGGGGCCCTGCCTCGGCACAAGCCAGGGACAGGGACCCACCCTCCCGATGTGGCCAGCACAGTCACACACCTTCATGTCAGCTTCCAGGCTGAGGAAGTCCACGGGGAACTGCCCTGCAGAGGGGAGGAGAGACGGGTGGGAGACCCCTGGATGACCCTCTCGTGGAGGGGTCACACCCCTCCACCTTCGTTTGTCCTGTGTCCTCTACAGAAAATGGGTGCAGGTTTCATTAAATTCACTCCTAATTAATTGATTTTTAAATATTTTTGCTAATGGTTTCTTTTCAAAATCTCAATTTTAACTGCTTCAGACTCGTCGTTGCTTTCCCTAAATCGCCCTTACACCCCGTGGCTGGGTGGCCTGCTGGCGTCTGTGGGCAGACCTGCTGCGAGAAGCGCCATCCCCCTCCTGGGCCCTGGGCTCCGCCAGCTGCCAGCAGTGGCTCCTGCGGGGCTGGGGTCCTTCTGCAGAGCAGAGCGTGGCCCTGGGAGTAGGGCTCCTGTGACTGTGGTGACGGCCTCTGGGGGGCAGGGAGGACCAATCTGGCTTCTTCTCCAGGCTCAACGCCTCATCATTCACTTGGCTTACGTGTTGCCTATGTGGGCAGGTGGCTGGACCTGGCCAGCTGGGGTCCACGCAGCTCCCTGGCGTGGCCACTTGGCTTCACTCAGTCAGTGGTCCTGCCCATCCTGCGCGGGTGCAGAGGGCGCCACATCTCGCCTCAGGTTTGGGAGACTCTGGGCCATCTGCCGTCACCGTAGCTTCTCTGGCTGACCAGTGATAGGCACCCTGGACTGACCCCATCCTCTGCACCGGCTGGGTGCTCTGCGGGCCTCTTCCTGTTCGTGCTCTTTCCTCGGTGGCCTCAGCTGCCTCAGCACAGTTACCAGTGCCCAGAATCAACCTCCCCTGTGTGCTACACCTCTGTCCTTCGGTCACTGTTGGATGTGGTCAGAGTCACATCCTGCCTCGCCTGCCTGTTCCTGCTCAGACCCCAGGTGTGGTGTGCAGACGCTGGAGGGTCCAAGCTCCCACCACCTTCTCTGAGAGACGCTGTTGCTCCTGGCAGGCCTTGGGGACCATCCACCTGCATGGGCTGCTTCCCAGCTCAGAGGTGGCCCCAGCGGGGGGCAGGCCGACTAGTCCCTCCGGCCCCTGCTCTGGCGTCCATGGGCTGGCTCCCAGCAGTCATGCAGTTGCTGTACCCTCCACCCAGCCTGCCCGGTTGGTCAGGGCGGGCGCCAGCCAGGGATCCAGCAGGGAACCCTCACTCCCCTCGGGGAAGAGGGAGTGCAGGGACCCACCTGGATGACCTCATTCAGAGCTGGCCCAGTGCAGCCCCTGGACAGAAGGGCCTCTGTGCTTACCCTGGCCACGCACACTCTCTGGAACCAACTGTGGGAGGGCGGGCATCTTGGATCTAGCCTTGGGCTGCAGGTGGGCAGCTGTCTGCTCCACAGTGGTGGGATGGTGGGGAACTCTTGCTGGAACCCTGTCCCTCCCAGGTCCTAGCTGTGTGGCTGACCAGGTGTCCCCAGATCCATGGCCTGAGAAGGGGCTTCCTCCCACTAGAGCAGGGTCAGACGGCGACTGCCCTGCAGAGGGCCCAGGGCCCACCCCAGGAGGCTGCCCACACACCCTGGGCCTGGGGCCCACAGAGAACGCTCACCTGGAGGTCCAGGTGGTCCCACTTCTCCTTTGTCACCCTTTGGTCCAGAAGGTCCTGGCAGCCCTGGGGGAACAGAGACCTAGTGCCATCAAGGAAACCTGAGGGCCCCTCTACCCATGTGGGCCCCGACCTCTAGGCACTGTGTAAAAAGAGAGGTCCTAGACCAGAAAGGGGTGGCAACGGATGGGGACAGTCAGACAGGCGCTCGTGGGGAGCAGAGGTGACAGGCCCAACCCTGCAGGCCAGGAGGACCACACCACCTCCCCAGGACCACCATGCAGGCCATAGAGGACCACACCACCTCCCCAGGACCACCCTGCAGGCCAGGAGGACCACACCACCTCCCCAGGACCACCCTGCAGGCCAGGGGGACCACACCACCTCCCCAGGACCACCCTGCAGGCCATAGAGGACCACACCACCTCTCCAGGACCACCCTGCAGGTCATGGGAACCACACCACGTCTCCAGGACCACCCTGCAGGCCATAGAGGGCCACACCACCTCCCCAGGACCACCCTGCAGGCCAGGGGGACCACACCACCTCCCCAGGACCACCCTGCAGGTCACGGGGGACCACACCACCTCTCCAGGACCACCCTGCAGGCCATGGGGACCACACCACCTCCCCAGGACCACCCTGCAGGCCATAGAGGACCACACCACCTCTCCAGGACCACCCTGCAGGTCATGGGAACCACACCACGTCTCCAGGACCACCCTGCAGGCCATAGAGGGCCACACCACCTCCCCAGGACCACCCTGCAGGCCAGGGGGACCACACCACCTCCCCAGGACCACCCTGCAGGTCACGGGGGACCACACCACCTCCCAGGACCACCCTGCAGGCCATAGAGGACCACACCACCTCCCCAGGACCACCCTGCAGGCCAGGAGGACCACACCACCTCCCCAGGACCACCCTGCAGGCCAGGAGGACCACACCACCTCCCCAGGACCACCCTGCAGGCCAGGGGGACCACACCACCTCTCCAGGACCACCCTGCAGGCCATAGAGGACCACACCACCTCTCCAGGACCACCCTGCAGGCCATAGAGGACCACACCACCTCTCCAGGACCACCCTGCAGGCCATGGGGACCACACCACCTCTCCAGGCCCACCCTGCAGGCCATGGGGACCACACCACCTCTCCAGGACCACCCTGCAGGCCATGGGGACCACACCACCTCCCCAGGACCACCCTGCAGGCCATAGAGGACCACACCACCTCTCCAGGACCACCCTGCAGGCCATAGAGGACCACACCACCTCTCCAGGACCACCCTGCAGGCCAGGAGGACCACACCACCTCTCTAGGCCCACCCTGCAGGCCAGGGGGACCACACCACCTCTCCAGGACCACCCTGCAGGTCATGGGGGACCACACCACCTCTCCAGGCCCACCCTGCAGGCCATAGAGGACCACACCACCTCCCCAGGACCACCCTGCAGGCCAGGAGGACCACACCACCTCCCCAGGACCACCCTGCAGGCCAGGGGGACCACACCACCTCCCCAGGACCACCCTGCAGGCCATAGAGGACCACACCACCTCTCCAGGACCACCCTGCAGGTCATGGGAACCACACCACGTCTCCAGGACCACCCTGCAGGCCATAGAGGGCCACACCACCTCCCCAGGACCACCCTGCAGGCCAGGGGGACCACACCACCTCCCCAGGACCACCCTGCAGGTCACGGGGGACCACACCACCTCTCCAGGACCACCCTGCAGGCCATGGGGACCACACCACCTCCCCAGGACCACCCTGCAGGCCATAGAGGACCACACCACCTCTCCAGGACCACCCTGCAGGTCATGGGAACCACACCACGTCTCCAGGACCACCCTGCAGGCCATAGAGGGCCACACCACCTCCCCAGGACCACCCTGCAGGCCAGGGGGACCACACCACCTCCCCAGGACCACCCTGCAGGTCACGGGGGACCACACCACCTCCCAGGACCACCCTGCAGGCCATAGAGGACCACACCACCTCCCCAGGACCACCCTGCAGGCCAGGAGGACCACACCACCTCCCCAGGACCACCCTGCAGGCCAGGAGGACCACACCACCTCCCCAGGACCACCCTGCAGGCCAGGGGGACCACACCACCTCTCCAAGACCACCCTGCAGGCCTTAGGGAACACACCACCTCTCCAAGACCACCCTGCAGGCCATGGAGGACCACACCACCTCTCCAGGACCACCCTGCAGGCCAGGGGGAACACACCACCTCTCCAGGCCCCTGCAGGCCATGGGGACCACACACCTCCAGACCACCTGCAGGCCAGGGGGAACACACCACCTCTCCAGGCCCACCCTGCAGGCCAGGGGGACCACACCACCTCTCCACGCCCACCCTGCAGGTCATGGGGACCACACCACCTCTCCAGGCCCACCCTGCAGGCCATGGGGACCACACCACCTCTCCAGGACCACCCTGCAGGCCTTAGGGACCACACCACCTCTCCAGGACCACCCTGCAGGACTTGGGGACCACACCACCTCTCCAGGACCACCCTGCAGGCCAGGGGGACCACACCACCTCTCCAGGACCACCCTGCAGGCCATGGGAACCACACCACCTCTCCAGGACCACCCTGCAGGCCATGGGGGACCACACCACCTCTCCAGGACCACCCTGCAGGCCTTGGGGACCACACCACCTCTCCAGGCCCACCCTGCAGGTCATGGAGGACCACACCACCTCTCCAGGACCACCCTGCAGGCCATGGAGGACCACACCACCTCTCCAGGCCCATCCTGCAGGCTGTGCTGATACCCACACCAAGGACAGCACATGGGTGGACCCCCGAGTGTAGCCCCACCATGGCAGGTCCTGGGAGCCCTGCTGGGAGGGCCCTGAGGATTGGGATGAGACCTGGGGAGGTCTGGTCAGCCAGTGGGTGCTCAGCAGCGTGCAGTCCGGAGCACAATGTCCTCCACATCCCTGTGGAAGGCTGTTGTCCCCCAGCCCCATTGGAACTCTCACCTTGCAGTCCCCGAGGCCCAGGGTGGCCAGACTCCACAAATGCCTGCAAAGAACAGGGTAAAGTGGTCTCTGAGGGACAATGCTCTGGAAACCAAGGCCACCAGCCACCTGGGGTCCCCAAACCCAGAAGCCCCAAGCCCCTCTGACAGGCCACATCAGGGGAGCCCTGGGACAGGTGCGTGGAGTCAGGAGCCCTGGCCGCGTCGCACTGCCTGTGGGGGTCACCGCCCTACTGGGCCTTTGCTCTTCCTGGGGGACACGCCTCCTCATCCACAGCCCCAGATGCAGCCCCCAGCCCAGCCCACCCCAGAGGCCCTGGGGACAGGACTGGAACCAGTGACAGGGAGAGGAGGTGGCGGCTCCTCCGCATGAGAGCGGGAGGCGCAGGGACTCAGTGCCGTGGGGCCCTGGAGACTCACGTTGCTGTCGTAGAGGGGCACCCCCGGAGGGCCTGGGGGCCCAGGAGGCCCTGGGGGGCCGGGCATGCCCTGTGGAGTGACAGAGAGCTCTGGTCATGGGGTGACTGGGAGGTGTGTGTGTCAATCAAACCGGGGTCTCACTCCTTACCTGAGGGGGCTCAGCCTGCAGCACGGGAGGCTCCACTTGGGAGCCCTGCTCCCTCCGAGAGGGGGCCATGTGCAGGGCCAGCCCCAGGCCTGCCATGGCCCACCTGCCAGCCCAACCCTGTGGCTCCTGAGCAGCTGTGTGACGTGGCCAGGGAGGGAAGAGGCAAGACACAGGCCGGGGGAGACAATGGGGGTGGCCAGACTCCCAGGAGACCTCCATGTGTGGGCCTCCTGAGAGAACCCGTGGCTTTGCTGTTCCCGGTGGGCGTGGGTCATGTGCAACTCTGACACGCTGCACACGTGCAGGTGCACAAGTGGCCCGTGTGTGCATGTGTGTGTGCATGTGTGTGAGTGTGCATGTGAGTGCATGTGCATGTGTGAATGGTGCGTTTGAGCGCACACAGGAGCGTGAGTGTGAGCACACAGGTGTGCACGTATGAGCACACATACACATATGGGTGGCATGGGAGTGTGCATGTGTGTGCATTACATGTGCGTGTCTGCATGTGTGTTTTTGTGTACGTGTGTCAGAAGACCAGCACTCTGTGGTCACCCTGCCAGCAGCTCTGAGAAGCTTCTGACAGGTGAACTGGGGACCCCAGACCTGGCCAGGCCACTCTTTGTCCCTGGCTGTCCTGGCCATCCCTGTCCACCCGTCACAGGGTACTCACCCTCATTCCAAGTCCGAGGCTGGCGTCTCCAGGTTCCCCCTTCTCTCCCTTCAGCCCATTCACCCCAGGGCGACCCTGGGCCAGAGCACAGTGGTGGGCTGTTGGGCACTGTGGGGGACAGCTGCAGACCCCCGCCGGCCAGGCTGCTGGGCCACAGCTCAGCCGCCCACACCCACTGGGCAGCTCCTTCCTGCCCTGCGCTGGCCCTCCCCCTTCTTCTTGCCCTAGCACCCAGGGGGTGGGGTGGGAGGTGGCTGACCCAGCAGGACCAGACCATGACCCTCTAACACCCAGGTGTCCTCTGGCCTGAGCTCTCCCTGGACAAGGCCCAGGATATCCTTTGGCCACTTTAGGATATGGGCTGTGCCCAGGAGGTCAGCTGCCCACCCTTCCCCAAGCCAGTCCTGCGGTGGGTCAGGGCTCTCTGCACCTGTCAGACACCCAGGTGCTTACCGGTCGTCCAGGAAGGCCGATCTCACCCTTGTACCCAGGCCGCCCATACGGACCCTGCAGAGAGGATGTGCACTGAGGCTGCAGGACCTCCTGAGCGGGGGGCTCTGAGGCCAAGGGAAGGGCCAGCCAAGGGCCAGAACGCTGGGCACCATTGTGAGCCGCCCACTGTGTCCCGCCCAACAGCCCCTTGAGTTTCAAGTTGCGGTTGAGATCTAGGTACTGGGGCCACGTGCCCAGCAGCCAGGCAAGGTGACGAGGTCATTTCCGACCACAGCACAGTGGCTCAGGACGAGGGTCCTACTCACCGGGGGTCCTCGGAAGCCCGGCTCTCCCTGGACAGAAAACAGAGGCACTGTCAGGTGGTGCAGTGCTCCCCGCCTGGGGTTCCGGAGCCACAGCTACAAGCTGGGTGGCACCTGGGCTGCCAGCCACACCAGGGAGGTCGGGAGACCCAGCAGGGCTTCTGGACAGGGTCTGCACCTGGGCAGCTGCACAGGCAGGGCATGCCCTGGGTCTTGAGGCTCGAGGCCTATCTGTGCCAGGCCTGGCCAGGTCATCTCAGGCCCTACGCAGAGGTAAAGCCAAGGACACAGTCTTTCTGGGCCTGCGGATCCAACATTCTTGGTCCATCCCAACAGTCAAGGGGCTCTGGGCTCCCCGCACAGGTGGCCAGTCAGCCGCTCTTCAGGGCCTGCTGTGGGCTGTGCTGGGGTGGGCCCAGGGCACAGGCCCCTCAACGCTGTCCTGACCGCCCTGGCTCAGGCCAGTGGAGGAGTCAGCAGCTGAGCTGGGCCCTGAGACCCCACCTCCCTGCAGGCAGGCCCAGCCAACAGGGTCAGAGGGACAACGAGCACTGGCCAGCAGGCACAGGAGTGCAAAGGCACGCCCCACGTGGCTGAGAGGTGGACCTGGGAGTGCCATGAGGGCCAGGCGGCAGGAGAGGCCCGTGTGCCAGGACCACTCTCCCTGAGGACCAGCCCCCCCCATGTCTCCTTGGTGGCCTGCAGGGGGCGCTGCCCTCACCTTGGCTCCTTTCTGGGCAGGGCCCAGGGTTCTGCCGTCAGGGCCCAAGACACCGCCAGGCTCTCCCTTCTCCCCCTGGAACAGCAGAGTCACAGTTCAGGGCTCCCGGCAGGCAGGGCGGCATGGTGTCCCCAGGCCTCGCAGAGAACACCCAGGAACAGGGATGGACACGGACACAGCCCAAGCTGCAGCTGGCCACACGCTTGCTCAGAGGTCACTAGGGGCAACACAGCCCCATTGTACTAGGACTCTGTCTACCCCAGAGTGGCCACTTGGGCAGATGGAGACTGTCCATTGGGTCAAGGAAGGCTGTCCACCAGAAGCACACCTTGGCTCTGGCTGAAGCTTGGGTGCCAGTCATGCTGGCAGATGGCACCCCAGCCCTTACCTTGGGTCCTGGGAAGCCCTGCTCGCCTCTGGAGCCCGGGTCGCCCTTTGGTCCAGCAGGTCCCTGGAGGGAAGACCAAGCGGAAATGAGCGTCCCTGGAACCAGTGTCCACCAAGCTCCCAGGACCCCCACATCCTGCCCTGCGGCTGCTCCTGGTCTGGCACCAGCATCGCGAGGTCCTGACTGGCCAGGGGCAGAGAGGTGCTCAGTCCTGCTACTGTCCTCCCGTCCAGTGACTCCGCCCACCCCTTGGGCCTCGCGAGGCCCGCGCAGCTCCCCTCTGCTCTGCCCTACGGGAGACCCCCCAGACCCAGCCAGCTCGGGAGCGGGGCCACTTACAGGAAAGCCTGCGAAGCCCGGCCTGCCCTGCAGAGAGAGGGACAGCGTCAGCCAAGGGTGGCCACGCCCTCAGGACACCCCGCGACTGACCGAGCAGCTGCTCAGCGACAAAAGCACATACCTCAGGCCCCGGTGCACTGGTCACTGCTCGCTGTCCACAGCCAGCAGAAGGCAGAGAAACAGGGAGAACAAGTTCAGAGTGGACCCGGCCCCAGCGCTCTGCGCCGGGAGGGGAGCAGGACCCTTCCAGGAGTGCAGAGGGAGGTGCTGCTCCCGACAGCCATCCCGAGGGTCCCTGGCCTGGCCCTTCCCAGGGACATCCGGGGCAGAGGGACGTGGTGGACGCCACTGCTCGGCCCCAGGCCACGGGCTCCCAGGCCACAAGCCTCTTGCTCAGCCCGCCTCTCCAGCTCTGCTGCAGGCTCCCGCTGACCCCTCCCGGATACTCACCCTCATTCCAGGCCCCACCCACAGGGTTCTCCAGTGACTGGGCAGGTGTGCCTGCGTGCACTGCCCTGGCCAGGGTCCCTAGCCCCGGCCTACGGGTCTGCCCTGAGCCGTCCCTCCCTCCTCTCAGACTGCTGTGCTTGTCCCATCTGCCCTTCTGTCCACTCCTGGTACTCAGATGGGCCCAGGCCAGGCGCAATTCTGACCATTCTCAGACTTAATCCAACCTGTGCCCCAGGACTACAGTGTTCCTCATTTTGAAAATGACGCTGTGCACAGAGAGGTTAAGTAAGTGTCTAGGGTCACACAGCTGTCGGTGCTGGAATGTGACCTGAGCCCTGGTGGTCACCCCCATCACTGCTCTAACTCTGCATAGGGCAGCTCCTTCCAGGGACAGCAGGAATCTGAGCTGCTGACCACACGTCTGTCTCCCTCAGCCCCCCCCCCACCTCAGGGCTCTTCTGTCCTGAGGGGGAGAGCTGACCCAGGCACACCCACCCACACAGCGTCCTTACGTCCTGATCAGACACGTAGACCACGGGCCCCGGGGGTCCTGGGGGTCCAGGCAGGCCTGGTTGTCCCACTCCATCCTTTCCTGGGTCACCCTGGAAGAAAAAGCCACAAGTCCAGCCCTTGACCACAGCGGCCCTGGCCAGGACCCAGAGCCCGGCTGGCTTTGGAGGTGGTTCCTGGAGTCCACGGGGTCTGAGGGGCATCGTGGGTGTGGACATGCTGCGCCCCAGCCCCGAGAGCCACTCCTGCCAAATTGAGGGTCTTGTCCCATCTCGAGCCATGTGGGTGCAGACCCCCAGGGCAGCACCCTGAAGCCAGCCCTACTGTCCACCCGCCGTGGGCCCTGAGCCCCACCCTGCCCCCGGACACTCACTCTTTCTCCGGGGCTCCCTTTGTCTCCTTTAGGTCCCTGCAGAAACGAGGAGGTGGCGGCGCTCAGAGGCGCTGATTGGTGAGGGGGTTCGTCCCCAGGCAGGCGGGGGCTGGGCAGGGACAGCCACCAAGGCCCCCGGGGTCAAGGCAGGCACACTGGGTCCTGGAGCACGGGGACCTGCAGGGCCAGGCCCCCAGGAGACCCAAGGTGGCTGGTGGGCCAGCTCTCCTCCGGGGTAGTTCCTCCAGGGGCTTCATCCCTCCACACCCGGGGCCACCACGGTCACTCACCGGGGGCCCTGCCGGGCCTTCTCTGCCAGGGAGGCCAGGGGACCCGCGGGCTCCGTCGGCTCCAACGTCCCCCTGGAATGAACAGAGGGTCCAGCATGTCAGCCACGGGGCCTGGGGCTGCGGAGACTCACCAAGAGGAAGCCCAGAGTGGCCGTGACCGTGAGGACCCTTGGGTTCCTGCTGGTCACTGGCTCCACCCCGGGGTGATGCTGCCTGTCACCCACTGGGGGCTGTGGGTGGGTGAGGAGGAGGGAAGCCTGGCCACAGGCGTGTTGTGGCTCCCAGGAATGGCCGTGGGGCGCAGGTGGGGTCTGGGCCCTCCGCTGGTAAACCCAGGGAGCACGGGGCTGGGCTGGGCCTGCGTGCCCTGCGGGGCCGCCCCCGAAACAAGGAAGGGTTCAAGTGTACGGAAAAGGGGCAGCCCAGGGAGGAGGGACAGTGCGGGGCCTGACCCTGCTGTCACCCGTGTCCTCCACACAGGCCCGGCTGTCACGGGGGGAGCCCAATGGCCCCATCTACTGCGGTATGGGGAGGACAGGCTCCCGGGGTCCCTCTCCGCCGCCCCCACGTGGTCCAGTTCCTGACCCTGAGTAAGGGGCTTACCTTGGCCCCAGGTGGCCCGCGGGCTCCAGGGTCCCCCTAAATGGACAAAGTGACTCAGTGAGTGGGTGGGCAAGCCGTGGAGGAGGGGCTGAGTGCCAGGTGCAGCCCGCAAAGAGCAGAGGCCCTGGACAGTGGGCAGCTGAGTGGCCCCCTGCTCCCGCAGCACCTGGCTGGACGGTTCTGGAGGCTGGAGGCAGAGCCCAGTGACCCCAGAGAGGCATAAGTGACCTTCTGAAAGCTCAGCCTTTGAGCTGGCCCAAGGCTTCACCAGCCAAGGGGCAGTGGGACAGGAGGGCCTGGCCGGAGCGGACCCCGAGGGGACCCCCCGACTTGGACGGAGCTCCTGCTGGGGAAGGCTACGGGGGCGGGTGAAAGGGCCGCTGCCCGGGAGCCGAGGACCCCGGTCTGGTCCCCCGCTGGCCCTGCCTGGAGCCAGCTCAGGCCTGGGGAGGGGTGGGGCTGGGTCCCTGGGTCCTCCAGGGGCCCCTGCCCGTGCCCTCGGGGTGCCTGGGCCACGAAGCCCTGCAGGCCTGGGGAGAGGGCCGCGCCCCTGCGCTGTCTTCCCATCAGGCTTTGGTTCCACTTTGCAAGTTTCCCTCCCGGGATCAGGAAACCGAGTCACCAAAGCTGTGACCGGCAGGGCGGAAGCAGGGGACTGACCTTGAGTCCTGGCGGGCCGGGTGGTCCCTGTGGGGCAGAGCAGACAGCATCAGTGCAGCCCGCCCTGCCCGGAGCCCTCTCTCCCATGGGAAAATGAGCCTGACCCCAGCACTTCAGCGGCAACCTCAGATGAAGCTCGCTGCCTGTGGGGGAGCAGCGCCCCAAGACGGCAGCAGGCCGGGGCCAGCCCGGGGCCCCAGGTGCCCAAGCCACCCTGCCCGTCCGGAACCAAGCAGACTCACGTCTTACGAAACCGCCACATAAACACTTGGTGTGGAGCCGCCCACCCAGGGCAAGTGGTGAGCTGACCCTGACCCAGGCGTGTCCCGCCAGACGCCACGGTGCTCTGGAGCCATTTTTGTGGCCCAGAGCAGGGCAGGACCTCCTAACAGGGGGACAGTGACCTCTAGAGACGACATGGCTGTTGGCGCCACACTAGGGCCCCATCTTCCCCAGACCCTCCTGGCTGACTGATCCTGCCGGGTCACAGGTGGCGCAGAGCAGGTGGAGATGCCGTTCGGGACCCCTCTGTGTAAGTCAGATCACGCTCAGGCCCTCGTTCCTTACGTCCCCAAACCAGAGCCACAGAGAGAACTCCACGTCTCCTTTCCCAGGAAAGACTGGTCCTCTAGGCCTGTCCACCTGGCTCGTCCATCCTGACCACCACTGCATTTCCCTCTGGAGGGACACAGGTCCCAGCCCTGGGACTTTCAACTCAACAGTGTCCCCAGGGGGCGGGGCCGAGGGTACACAGTGCCTGGGAACACAGCCCCCCGACTGTGGCCGCTCCTGGCCCACGGGAGCCTTTTACAGGCACGTAGGGGCCCCCAGCTCATGGGCAGTACCTGTGGCCCCTCAGAGCCGCGGGCTGTCGACCAGAAAGGTGCTCCGGAGCCCTCCATGTCGTCCTGGAGTGGACATAAGAGGGACACTTCTTAAAGAGGAGAGGACCCCACCTTGGGCCTGGGATACTAGAGCTGGGCCATAGCAGAGTGGGTGGTTCCCAGGGCCAGGCCACCTGGGAAACAGCCGTCCTTGGGGGGCTTTGCAGTGACAGGGACCCTGGTGGGGTGGGGCCCGTACAGTCCCTCCAGTGTGGCTCATCTGCCTGGTCTGCACATGTGCTGTGCCTCGGCTGTCCCCTGAGGGGTTTTGGGGACCTGAGGGACAGGGGCCTGGAGAGGACAGCTGTGATCACTGGACGCTGGGCATGAACACCTGTGCTCAGTGTACAGGGGAGCCACCAGCACGGCCAGCCCTCAGCCCCTCAGGGCTCACGGGGGCCACCGGGGACAGAGCCCAGGCTGTGTGGCAAATGCTGGCCGAGACAGCGGGGCAGCCTGGAGCTGCCCGAGGGGAAGGTGGGATGGCAGGCTGGCCTCCTAGGAGCTAGGACTCACAAATCCAGCAGCAGGTCCTGGTCCTGGTGGCCCAGGGGGGCCCGGCGGTCCTGGAGGTCCAGCGGGACCAGGGGCTCCTACGAAGCCGCTCTCCCCGGGAGCACCAACAGGGCCAGGGTCTCCCTTGCCTCCCTGCACAGGGCAAAGAACAGTGTCACCACCCTCTGCCTCTGGGCCTCAGAGCAACCCCAGAGGCCACCGTGTCCCCAGGATGGCTACGTGTCCTGCAGAGTTGAAGAGTGCAGAGGCGAACACGCTGGAGCAACGCGAGTCCTTATGAGGGTCCAGGCCGCTCAACCACAAGCACCAAGGGCCGAGCGAGACCTGCAGCTGCACGTCGAGCCTGCGGCCTGCTCCCCAGAGCCCGGCACATGCACGTGGCACAGCACGCTCGCTCACGGCCACGTCACTCCCTGAGCCTCAGGGTCCTCCTCGGAAAACCAGGACAAGCAGCACATCTCTCGACATGGGACAGCGGCACACGGTGTTGTGAGACCCTGAGCCCAGTGCTGGCCGGAAACCGGCAGGAATGTGACCCATTGCCCTGTTAGGGTGGCAACCGGCCACTCTGCATAGCCCCTCCCCACTGCCCACTGTCCCCGCAGGTGCCTGGCGCTGAGCCCAGCCCTGGGCTGCTGCAGCCACGGCCAACCCTGGTCCCAGAGTCTCCTGCGCGTCCCGGCCCCTCCCGCTGCTCCACCCTCACACCCACTCCACCCAGGGCTGGCTCCACCCCTCCACTCTGGTTTAATCTGCCTCCACCTAGATCCGGGTGGGCACCCACCACGCCCAGCCGAGGAGGGGAGCCCTGGGCGTCTTGGGCATTTCTGGGTGGAGGGTGCCTTGGCGGGGACTGTCCTGGACATTTGTGGAGGGTGGCCAGCGGGGGAGAGGCCCCGCCCAGCTGGCAGGCAGCACCTCTCCTTCCTGGGCAGGCTCACGAGGAGGTGGCCCAGGGTCTCCCTGCAGGCTGCTTGGCTGAGTCAGATGAGGGTCCCGCAGGGCAGGCCCAGACCTCAGGCCTGTCCCAGGGAGGCTGGGACCACAAGAGGGGGGACAGGGAAGGCCTGGGGAGCAGAGGCTGCCTCAGCCTCCCCTTCTGCCCAATCAGAGTGCGGGCAGGGCTGGGAGTGTGCCCCCCTGGGAAGCCGTGTGGGGACGCTGGGTCCTGCTGGGCCTGGGCAGCCCCCACCCTGCGGCTCGCGGCCCCTCTGAAGCCCCCCGCCCCCTGGAGTGTTCACCAGGACAGCAGGACTCGAGGGCAAGGGGCACCAGGGGAGGCGTGGCCCTGCCCGATTCCTGGCAGCATGGACAGAGCTGGGGTCGTGGTCAGCAGCAGGAGCACACTCCGTGACCACAGCACCCCCTGCACCCGCTGGGGGCACTTCATGGAGAATGGCACCAGCGTTTGTACCTTGGGTCCTGGGGCGCCTGTGTCACCCTGCGGGGAGAAGGACAGCATTACCATGAGGTCCAGGCCAGTGAGGGAGCCAGGGGAAGGCAGATGTCCCAGGCCAGCTCCGACCAGGGCGGCCATGCTGCCTCCTGGGCCCGTGGGCCCGCTCTGGGTGGGGCCTGGGGCTTGGCAGGGAGAGCTCCCTCCCAGAGGAGCCCATTGCTAGGCTCCTGGGCTCCGTCGGGGCCTTCCTCACTCCTGTCCCCAGGGGGCCTCCCACCTACCCCTCCTTCACAGAAATCCCACCGCGGCCACGGGAGGCCGGCCAGCCCCAGGAGCTCCGACCCCACCCAACGGAGACGCGAAACGAAACTCCACAGATGGAGAGTCGGCCTTAAAAGCTGTGCCCCTGGCATCGCCGAGAGAGCCTGAGGTCTCCTCGCCGTCCTAAGAGACCTCCCAGGCTGCGGCCTGTCCCCAGCCTGTCCCAAACATGCAGGGTCCCTCCACCCCCTGGCTCCTCGGTGGTGCTGGGTCAGTCCACCAGACGTGTGGCAGGTGACTTACAAGACTGCCTTTCTGGCCCGTCTTTCCTGGTGGACCCTCTTTTCCTGGAGCTCCGGGGGGGCCCTGCAAGAGAGGAGCCGGTGAGGGTCTGGGTGCCCCCCCTGAAGAGCTGGGGCCGGCTCACCGTCAGCTGCACCTCAGGTTCCCAAGAGGCCAGGGCATAGCATGTCCCTGGACCTGGGGCGCGTCCCTCCGCTCACAGGGCACCTGACTTGGCCCTAAGACGACTGCCTTCAGGGCTGGTCCCCGTCTCTCTCCTTTCCCAGGGCCAGGGCCTGACCCCAGGGCCCGGCACCTGCTAGGCAAGGGTGTGACCTGGGAGCTGCACCCAGCCCTTTTCGTATTTGCTTTGAGACGGGGCCTCCCTAGGCCGCCAGGCTGGGCTGGAACTTGCAGCCCTCCTGCACAGCCTCCAGGTGTCTGGGGTTGCCCGTGTCGCCACACACCCAGCCCCTGTCTCTCCTTTTCAAGTTGCCAGTCAGATTCAAGAGGACAAGAAGTGACGAGGGATCCCGTGGGGCACGGCGGGTAGCTCGCAGTGGTTGGGAATATCAGGACGTGCTTCCAAGAGGCCGGCTGGCAGGGGGCCCACTTGGCTTTCCTGGTCACCCGGGTGCAGAAGCGTGCTGCGGAAGAAGCCCTGCGTGCCCACTGAATTATGTGGCCAAGGAGCCACGCTGCTGGCAGCAATGACTCTGTGGGTACCGTGCGGACGGGCAGCAGGCCACAGGGGCTCCACCTGCCCCCAGTGGGCCCTGATGAGGCTCTTGCTTCTCCGTCCCCACCGGAGGCTCACCCCCTCTCCGTCCCCACCGGGAGGCACTGTGAGCTCAGTAGACCTGCCCAGTCCAGAGAGGTCCACCAACCCATCAGTACCCCCAGGACTACAGGGTGGCCCACACAGGCTCTCTGACCCCAGGAATGGCCCAGATACATGGCCCACCTGGAGGAATGGGCTGGGGGCCAGGACTGGGGAGGCCAGGTGGCAAGGGGAGGGCTTCAGGTAGGCACTCAACCCCGTTCCCAGCAGACAGGGCCCCGCTGGCGGACAGCCAGACTCACCGGGGGGCCTGGAAACCCAGGGGATCCGTCGCGCCCAGGAACCCCAGGAAGGCCAGCAGGTCCCGGAGCATGGGAGCTGTTCATGCCAAAGCGGCCAGGCTCGCCAGGCAGGCCTGGGACACCCGGGGGGCCCGGGGGGCCGGGGAAGCCACGTGGGCCCTGCACAGAGACAGACCATCAGGGCCCACACCGCCCGGCCCAGCGATGACCTCATCCCTGACCAGCCTGGCCCACCCAGGGTCCCTGCTGGGCCTCACGGGGGCCACAACTGTTCTGCCTGCCCAGGGGGAGAGCAGGCAGCTGCCACTCACCCTGAGGCTCTCCAGGTCACCACCAAAGCCGGAGCCTTCCATGTCGATGAAGGTCTGGGGGACAGCCAGAGAGGCCTGTCGTTAGGAGAGAGGCCCTGCCCTGCCTAGCACCAGGCTGGCTCTGCCAAGCTCTACCCTGACCACTGCCCACAGCAGACATGCAGGACACCCCTGTACTGGCTCCAAAGACACAAAGGGGTCCAGGGCCACCCGTGGCCACTCAGAGCTGGCCGTGGCCCTGCAAGCCCTGTGAGCCAGAGGAAGGTGGTCCCCCTAGGCCAGACACCAGGAGGCCGTTCTCAGGCTTGAGGAAGAGGACTCACCAGCTTGTCATGTCTGAGGGAGGGTCCTGGTGGCCCCGGAGGCCCTTGGGGTCCTGGGGGTCCTCTTGGCCCGATCCCAGGATCTCCCTGGACACCAGGCAGACATGTCACACCAAAGCTCATGGCCCAGAGGCTGGGACGGGGGGCTCTGCACACTCACCTTCTCGCCCTTGGGGCCTATATCCCCTGGAGTCCCCGGGAAGCCCTGTGGCCCAGTGTCACCCTGGAAGACAAGGTGCTGGGGTCAGCCTGAGCCTGCTGTCCTGGATGCTCCTCTCACAGAACAAGGGACAGAGGAGTCCAGGAACCAGGATGGCACCATGTCACCAAGGGGCCCCCAGAGTGGGGACTCGAAGGTGACACACCTACTGCGAGGGACCCCCTTTGAGCACACAAGACTGCGTGTGGCATCCCTATCAGGGAGTCACACCTTGCCCAAAAGCGGAGGCTTGGCCACACACACGTGGGTGCTCATGCGTGTCCACCCTGTGAACTCGGAGGCTAGGACACTGCTTGTGACCATGCCAGCCAGACCCTCTTGGGCCTCACGTGGCTTCGCCTCCGGGTGGCTTTGCCTCCAGGGGCACAGTGGTCCCCAGTGGCTCCTCTGGCCAGCGGGAAGACCTGCCCCTGCTTTCTTGGGGCTGGCCGGGGCCCCCCTCTCTGCCTCCTGGGCGGCATAGCCTGTTGGCCAGCTGTTCCCCTCCACCTGCCGCCCTGCGTCCTCTGTCCTTGGAGGTGGCCCTCCTTGTTTTCAACACTCTCCAGGCAGGAACTCCAGGTCCGGAGGCCCCCACTCCCAGGCCTGCCCCGCCTCCCTCCGGGCACCTGGCAGTCAGCCCAACGTCCCAGCACCTAAGTGGGATCCACCAGCACTTAGACTGGAATTTTCTTCACAAAGTGAAGTTGCACTTTGGAGACGGTTTCTCTGCGATAGCCCCGGCTGGGTCTAAAGGCCTGACACCGTGATAACATCTGGCTCAGAAAGAAAAGCAGACTTACGGGCTTTCCGTCTTCCCCCGGGTCTCCCTGGAACGTGCAAGAGAAACCATTAACCAAGGGGCCACCCTGCAGCGCCTCCCGGAGTCTGAACACAAAAGCGCACCTCAGCTTAGACCACGCTGCGAAGCCAGCCCCAGAACCACCCTCTACCACAGTGAGGCACCCTGCACCAGAGCTCAGGTCTCGGGGGCTGCTCTCCCCAGGTCCTACCTCCCACACCCCGACCCCCTTCCACCTCCAGTCCCAGGCAGACGGCTGCTTCTGGGCACCCAGGGTCCCAGGGTGCTGCTGCTCTGGCCTGAGTCCACTCTCACCAGCCCCACCTCCAGCCAGACCACGAGGTGGACAGTACTCACCGGCTCACCATCCCTTCCTGGGGCACCATCCTTCCCTGGTGGCCCTGGAGGTCCCGGGGGTCCCTGTGCCCCAGGGACAGACTGTGCATTGGAACCCTGCACCACTGGGCCTGCAGGGCCTGGAGGACCGACGGGGCCAGGCAGGCCCTGAGCTCCCGGCTCACCCTTTTGTCCCTTCAGGCCTCCCTGGAGACAAAGACAGGAGAAGACGGGCTACGGTGACCTGCCCCAGTTCTTCTCCATGCTGTGGCCACAGAATCCTAGAAAGGGCACACAGGGTGGGCGTGCAGAGGACACGGTGGACATGCAGAGGACACGGGGTGGATGTGCAGAGGACACGGTGGACATGCAGAGAGGACAAGATGTGGATGTGCAGAGGACACAGGGTGGGCATTCAGAGGACACGGGGTGGACGTTCACAGAGGACACGGGGTGGGCATGCAGAGGACACGGGGTGGACGTGCACAGAGGATACCAGGTGGACGAGCAGAGAGGACACGGGGTGGACGTGCACAGAGGATACCAGGTGGACGAGCAGAGAGGACATGGGGTGGGCATGCAGAGGACACGGGGTGGATGTGCAGAGGACACGGGGTGGATGTGCACCGAGGACACGGGGTGGATGTGCACCGAGGACACAGGGTGGACGAGCAGAGACGATATGGGATGGACGTGCACAGAACACAAAGGCTGTGTGTTCGAGCACAGGGTGGACAGGGCATGGGGCGAGGCATGGGCCTCGAGGGGCTCTGTTAGGATTACAGTGTGTGGAACTGGAGGTGCCCAGGGCACTGGGTCCCCAGGCTCAGGGTCATGGGAGTGGCCTCACCCTTTCCAGGCTGCTTCCAGGGCGCCGGGCACTCTCATCGCTAGTGCCATCCAAATCTGAGCCAGGGAGGGTCTGAACTGCAGAGAGGCAGAGAGACTGTGGTCAGCCTCCAACCCCAGGCTCTGCCCTCCTGCTCTGGGCTGTGCTGCCCCAGGGACGCTCCCAAGGAGAGCCTGGGCCTGGGGGGACGGTGCAGCACCCAGGGGAGAGTCCCCAACCTTACACAACCACGCAGCATTCTAAGCAACCCACAGACCCTGCCCACCGAGAGCTCCACCACACTTACTTCCCTCCCAGCCCTTAATCTACCAAACACCAACAGGAAGGGCCCACAGCCTTCAGCCAGACCACGGCCATCGCAGTCACCCACGGCCTCGTCTCCCCCGTCTCCTTTCCCCCTCTCTCCCTCCCTCTCCCACGACCTCTCCATCACCTCCCTTTCAGAGCCACCTGAGAGTCTATGGCACTGATCATGACGCTGCTCTGTGAATGCTGTGGCCTCCCCCCAAGCGAGGACCTCGAGAGGTCCTCTGTGGACCAGTGGCCACGATCGGCAAAGCTAAGGCTGACCTGCCACACAGCCCTGTTTCCCGCTGGCCCCTCAGTGTCCTTGTGGCCTGTTCTCTGGGACAGTGGTGCTGGGGACACCCAACCGGGATCACGCCTTGTGCTATCTCCTCTCCTGCGGCGTACAGTTGTGGTCAGCAAACTGCTTCCCCTAGGCCAAAGCCTGGCCCAATCCGTCTCTTGCTCTTCCCAGGTTCGTAGAAACAAAAGGCCCAGGACAACGGGAGCCACGCAGAGCAGCGCTGGCCCCTTCCTCTGCCCTCCCCAGCCGGAGCAGCTGCTGCCACCAGCCAGGGGCACACACGGGCGGGCCCTCCCGGCTTCGGGATCTGGGCCAGGCTTGCAGATGGCTCCCGGGCAGCCTCTGCCCAACCACGCCGGCACGCAGTCAGCAGGGAAGCAGCTCCTGCCGAGCCCCAGGCTTCCTGGGGACCTAGGTGCTGCCACGTCCTGAGTCCCTCGGGGGAATCTCACCACCTCGGCTGTACACGTGGCCCCCACCCTGGGTCTGAGTCGGTGCCCGGACACTTGTCCTCGGCTGAGCGTGGTGGCGGCAGCATCCGAGGCTCTTTAGCCACACAGCTGCCAGTGGCCAGTGGCCTTCCAGGGCAGTGCAAGCCACTGGGCCAACCCTGCACCTGGCCTGCACCTGCTGCCCAGGAAGGCCTAGGGGTGGGGCTCCCTGGAACCCTCAGGAGGCTTCCTCTGTCACAGCCCCAAACCAGGGGCAGCCCTGACATCGTGGCGAGGTGAACAGATGGACAGGTGGTGGCCTCCACCACGGAGAACCATGCAGCAAGAGAACAGGGGCCAGGGACTGCTGATGACTCCGGCGTGGACAAGTCTTGAGTAGGACACCAAGAAGCCCCACACGGGTGGCTTCACGGGGCAGACAAAGGTCAGAACCCATCAAATTGCATGTCGAAGCGAGTGCGGCTGGGGCATGTGGACTGTACCCAACAACAACGCAAAGGGACCCCGACCAAGCCACGCCCCCAGGGCGCCGGGGACCCCAGGCCCAGCCGGGCGGAGCCCCGCTCTGCCAGCGACCTGCACACCCAGGAACGGTTCCTCCCAGAGCCTCCCTGAAGAGCCCGCGCTTGGGTCCCGCCCCCAGGCCCAGCCGCTTGCACCCACAGGACTGAGGACCGGGCGTGGGTGCCAAGCCGCCGAAGCCGTGGGCTCGTAACTGCCCTGGACAGCAAACGTCCCAGATGGTCACTGTGCTGTGTTGAGGTGCTGCAGGCCTGGCCTGCAGGTCCAGCCAGCGGGCGTCCACGGGGGGTCACAGGAAGCGAGGGAGAGCAGGAGGCCAGGGCCCCAGCAGAGCTGCCTGTCCCTCCCCACTCGAGGGTCCCCAGCCAGGGGGACAGTCCTCACCTACCACACGCACCACACCCACAAACGCAACATACATAGGTCACACACACAACACACTTCACACACACACACACCACATACACCACATACAAACCACACACTCACACACACACCACACACATACCACACACAAACCAAACACACTTCACACACACCACACACAAACCACACACTCATACACACACCACACACACACTTCACACACACCACACACACACTTCACACACTTCACACACGCACAAACACACACACTGTGACCAGAGCCTGGCCTAGGGCCTCCTCACCAGGATCACACACACACACACACACACACACACACACCTCACACGCCACACACACAAACATACCACACACACACACCACATACACACCACACACACACCTTACACACCTCACATGCCACACACACACACATACCACACACACACCACACACACAAATATACCACATACACACCACACTCACACACACCACACACACACACCACACACATACACACAAATATACCACATACACACCACACCACACACCACACACACACACACACCACACATCACACACCACACACACACACAGACACACCACACCCCCCCCACACACACACCACACACACACACCCCACACATGCGTGCACGTGTGTGAGCTCAATACCTCTCCCAGGAGAGTCTTACCTTCTGGCGGAGCCTCTGTGGTGCCTGCCCTGATCTCTTCACTTCTAGAATCTTCTGTGCTGCTGCCGCTGGCCAAGGGGGGAGAGGTGACGGGGGGAGGCTGGGGGAGGCTGGGTCTCAGGGCCACGACCTACGGAGGGGAGCGGAAGAGGGTCCTGTGCATGTGCCCAGCAGCCACGGCTCGATGGCGGGCTGGGAATGGCTCCATGTGGGCGTCCGCAGGTTAGAAAGCCCCGCTGTCCAGGAGGACGCCGGCCTCTGCAGAGCCCTTGGCTCAGGATGTGGGGTGGTTTCGGCCCCCGGCAGGTCCCCAACCCCAAGCCTCTGCGTTCTGAGCACCAGGGACAGAGGCCCCTCAGTCATGGGGACCCGGGAGGGCCAGACAGTGCCACACAGCAGTGTTCCAGGGGACCTGTGGCCACACTGGGGAGATGTCCTCCTTAGGGTCACAGCGGGACTATCTGCCTGGCCCAGCCTCCAGCACGGTGCTACCAGGGTGAAGCAGCCTGCTCTGAAGACCACCTCCCTGGTTCCCAGGTGGCTGTGCTACGTCGAGGACACAGACTGGCCGTGGCCAGCAGCCTCCCAGCCATGCTGTGTGGCCTCCCTCCTGGGGACAGCATTGGTGCCGTGGCTCATGGACACAGTGGGCACCCAGCCAACTGCTGGTCCCACAGAGCCCCAGGCCTGTGGGGGGACACCAGGGGTCCAGGCTCTGTACCTCCTGGGACAGGGCTCAATGTGGCTCCTCTGCTCGGCTGGGCCCCTCAGGAAGCCCCTGTGGCCCCTGCGGGGAGGCCTCTCCTGGATGTTCAGTTTAAAGCCTGTCTGTTCCCCAGGCCATCTGCAAGCTCATGGGCAACAGGAGGCCAAGGGCACCCCAGGCCAGAGGGCGTGACCAGGGCCGGGCCTAGGGCCCCCTCACCAGGGCCAGAGGGCGTGACCAGGGCCGGGCCTAGGGCCCCCTCACCAGGGCCAGAGGGCACCTCTGGAGCATGGAGGCCAGTGGACATGCCCTCGGCTTGCCCCATTAGCATGAGCACACGGGGAATCATGCCAAGGTGTGCATGCCCCCTACTGCTGGTTGGGCCGGGCAGGGCCAGAGGCCTGCCCTGTGCCCAGGAGGAGGTCCCACCTGTGCAGCTACTCACCGCTCCCTCCCTGGGAAGCTGTTCCTCCTCCTCGAGGCCACTTCCAGAGTCTCCTGATGCCTGCAGATGGTGGGGAAGCGAAGAAGGAGGTGTGACCACAGCCCACCCCAGCCCAGTAAGGCCTGGAAGCCACAAGGCCATTTGAGGGTCCGCCTGTTGGTCAGGCAGACGTGTCTAGTCTGACCAAGTGGACCATCCTGCAGAGGACGGCTAGGACCCACGGCTTTCCTGCCGCCTGGCCACCGTCCTGTGGCTGCCGGGAAGGAAACCAGGGGCAGGCAGGTGCTCAGGAGCAGCCCTCCTCCACTGCCTGCCCAGGCCGACAAGCACGGAGTGGACTTGGCCTCTGAACAGAGTCCTGCACTGGACGGCCTCTGCTCTCCACGGCGCCCCTGGCTGGGCCAGGAAGGCCCAAGGGGTGGCCCTTCTCTCTGCCAGGGTGTTGTGAACTTAACCCAGCATCTGGGCCCACCAGTGACCTCCGTGTCAAGGCTGGGGTCGAGTGCCCACAGCCTGAGCAGCCGTTTGTCCTGGCCACCGGCTAAGATCCAACCACATCCTGGACTTCCCTCCGGGAACAAGCAGTAGCTTCATCACACACACATGGAAACGCGGCCGTGAAGTGGTAACGCGTCTGCCCACCGCCAGCCTCGGCCGGGCTCAGGGGAGTGGACACATGGGGTTGCTCCTTAGGGGCTGCGAGTCTGAGCGCAGCCCAGCTGCACCCTGAGGTCTGCTCTGTGTTCCGTGGTCACCAGTGGGAAGCTCAAGGCCAGCAGCAAGGACAAGCTGTCCCCGGCTCCGGCACCCAACGCACATCTCGGGGGACTTTCCCCAGCACATCACTTGGGACCCCAGGGCAGGGCCACCTCCCCCAGCCCCACCACCCATGGGGACCTGTCCCAGTCCCGTGGTCACTCACCCCATCCTCGTCATCGTCCTCCTGGTCCAGGCAGCGCAGGGGGCTCACCTGGGGGTCCCCACGCACCGTCAGCTCTGCGATCATTCCCTAGACACAGAGGGTGAGGGGTCACCGTGGCTCCTGGGGCAGGCACCTGGGTGCAGAGACCCAGACTCCTGCTGGCCCCACGCCCAGCCTGGAGCGCCTGAGCCCAACCCCAGCACCTCAGGAGGGCGAGGGGGCCCCGGGAGGGCTTCCTCAGCCACACAGGCTGCTCAGGTCACCCGCCGGCCGGTGCGAGAGGCCCGGATCCTGCTGCCTCTCTTGGCTAGGTTCCGAGTGGCAAGAAGACCCAGGAGGGAACTCTCATCCCTATCCAGTGCCTGGGGAGGCCACCCAGGCACCACCCACCACAGACACCTGGGCTGGGGGCAGGGAGGGGCTAAGCCACACTGCCCTCGAGCACACAGGATGAGCGTCCTGGAGGACAAAGCCCTGGTCCAGCAGCCCTGGTCCTGGTTTGGGTCAGGCATGCGGTGATACTTCAGGAAGTGCTAGAGGTGTCCTGCCTCGGGCCACTGGGCAGGACCAGGTGGACTTTCCGCACAGCCACCTTTCCCACTGAACACCACCCAGCCTCACCCTGGTGACCGCCACCCGAGCAGCCTCAACAGCACCCTCGGGCTCCCTGGGCAGGCGCCAGGCAGGGCTCTCTGTGTGGTCTCTAATGGGGAACGCCACCCAGGACCCCAGGACGAGGATGGGGCTACACTGCAGGGGTGACCAGACAGGCCCCAGGCCAAGGACACGCGCCAGGCAGGTGGACAGGACAGGACAGCAGGGCTCCAGCGTCTTGAGCCGCAGCGCAGAGGGTCTGCAGCGGAGCTGCTGGCGGGGCCCTGGGTCTGCAGCGGCACGTCAGAAACCTGGCGAGAGGTGGCCGGGTGCCAGGCCTCCACGCCAGGCACCCACGCCCCAGCCGCCAGCATCTCTGCCTGCGCCAGCACCCCCGTCCTGGAGCTCACTCTGGGAGGACCTCCCCACTGGGCAGCAAGTGTCCACACGCTCCTTCCAGCATCTCCTGTGTCTTCCACTTAATGTTTCTACTTGTCACCTGAGCAGAGACCACAGCTCATGGACTCGGAGATGCACATTTTGACCACTGTCATACTAAGAGGGCTTAGGGCAGGGGTCAGCTCGCTTTCCATAACGCTGGACAGTAAACAGGCGATCTGAGGGGCAGGCGGCCCCTACTCAGGGCAAGGGCAGCAGAGAGGGGCCAGGGCCGAACTCCACATCCCAACAGGGACGGAGGGACAGGCACTAGACAGTGATGGGAGAGGTGAGGGGTGGCCAATCCAACCAGGGATTCTGGGAGCACAACTGTCACGGAGGGCTGGCCAGTGCCTGTGAGGCGTGGGCACATGTGTGGCGTATGCACACTTGTGTGATCACATGTGCTCCCGTGGGAGGTGTGAAGAGCATGGAGCCAGGCGCCTGCCCAGGTGCCCACACATGGGAGCCCACGCCACCCAGGCGCCAGGCCCCTCAGGGGGAACGTGGGAGGAGGGGCACTTCCTGCTGGTCAGCTCCAGGCCAGCAACCTGGCCGGAGCAAGGTCCAGGATGTCTCCACCCACAGGGGCCTGCTGCAGCAGGGCCCACGCCAGCGCCTGTCACCAAGTTTGAGAATCTCCCAGGGAAGGGAGGGTTGGATTAGAGAAGTGCTTCTCGGCTGTGGCACTGGCCCGGGGAACAGGGGTGGTGTCCAGGAGGGAGGGGGCCGGGGCTCCCCTGCCACATGTGCCCAGCCCTGGCCCCTGAGCGCCCCCGCAGACCAGCCCACCACGATGCGGCTCCTTCTGCAGGGCAGCTGTGCCTGCTGCTGGGAGCCTGCAGGGGGCGCCAGAGCACAGAGTGTGGCCCGCAGCCCCGCCCCCTCCTCTGGGAGGTCAGTGGGGAAGAAGCCAGCAGTGCCCCGTGGACACCCAAGGACTTGGACGAGAGTCGTGGAATCTGGAGACATGGACACTGAGGGTCAGAGAGTTCCACTCATCACCAGGCCCGAGAAGTCCTCACACCACGCTGCTCACAGGCGGCAGCTTCAGTCGCGGGCGTGGTGTGGACTGCCTGTGGTTTCCCCTCCCTCTGCCCATGGCCCTGTCTGGGGTTCCCCTGTGTTCTGGGGTGGCATCTTGCCCCCAGCCCTTGGCCTGGAAATGCTGCCTCCTGGCAGAGAAGGGTGGAGGCCAAGGAGCCCTCCCCCTGTGTGGGGGTGCCTCCCTGGTGCTCCCTGGTGCTCCCATGCCTCCGTGGCTGGGGGGTCTCAGCTGCAGTAGGGCAGCCAGGCTCCTCTGCTCTCTGCTTCCCAGCTGGGTGGCTCTGGCCACCAGGCACAGCTCGGTTTGCAAAGCCGGCCTCTCTGGCTGCCTCTCCTGTGGTCCTGCAGTCCTTCTCACAGCACCCCTCTGACTCCACCATGCAGCTCAGTGAGGACCCTGCGTGCTGGGCGTCCTGCCTGGCTGTCCTGTCCAGGCCCTGCACTGTGTGGAGGGAGCTTCGCAGCACAGCTGGACTCTCTGGGGCCCCGGTGACAGAAGGGGCCGTATCCTCGTCCAGAGGGGATTCCCAGGAACCCCAGCCTCCTGGGCCCCACAGCTCTGAGCTTGTTTCTGCCAAACCTTGTCAATCGCACGACTCAAATGACCCCTTCCCAAGAGTCTGAACGTACCTTGTGCCAAACCAAATCTGTCTTCTACCAAAGCGAGCCCCCCTCTGCCAGATGCAGGACCCGGAACCCCTCCACCTCCACCTTCCAACCATCAAAGGTTCTGCTAGTCACAGGGTCTTCCCAGACCAGAATAGATCCTTTAAACATCCCAATGGTTTTTAAAACTCAAAGATGCTAATGGCAAACTAGGAAATAAGATTTACAGCCACGAGACGAAGGACCAATTTCTTTCACACATGACGAGGTTGTACAAATCAATCAATGGTTGGACCTCCCTACTCCCCACAAAAGAACATTAACAGTCAGTTACCAAAAAAAGGAAATAAAAATAGCCAACAAATTGGTGGAAACAATATAAAAGTTTGCCTCCACCACCAGTCCAACAAGTGGACACACTCAGGTACCGCTGGCCACCTGCTTCACACAGTGCTGGCAAGGCCAGAGACGAGGCCGCCTGGCTGGGCACCGTGGGACGTGGTGTGCGCTCCACGGCCTGTGCCCCAGGTCCCATGAGCATCTTTTCTGTTAAGGTGTGAAAGATGCACAAGACTCAGGGGACACTCCAGCCACCCAGCTGTGCCTGGGCAGGTGTTCCACATACTGTCCTGGCCAGAGCTACTGCTCTCTGATCTTCCCCAATCAGTGTGAGGATCGAAAGGAAAACACAAAGAGGCCCAGCTGGTGTCAAAGTCCTGGTGGCTCCTGAGCCCCGGGGGCTAGAAGTTCCTGCCAAAGGCTAAAGGTCAGCTTTCAAAGCCAGAGACACCAGGCCTCTGAGCAACGTCAGACAAATGGCCCTTGTCAGTCCATAATGACTTTCTGTCCCTGGGGACGTGGCCTCACTAGCACACACAGGGACGCTTGTCTGGAGCACTGGAACTTGGGTGTGGTTAGTGCCCGCTGGGGTCACCCACATGGCTCTTCCCAGGAGACAGGGACTCCAGCTAACCCCACGCTGGGCTGTTGCACATCTGCTAAAACAATGACCAGCCCACAACTGACGGGGGCCGTGGGTGAACCGTCCACCCCTACAGTGTGCCCTCCTGGAGGGTGATGCCTGAGGCCATCACAGCCTCAATCCCCTGAGGGCTCTTTAGCCAGGGCCACTGAACTTCCATTTTGCAGCTCGGGGCTGGGCCTGGACTTGGCCATGCACTCACCTGACCAAGCCTGGACTCAGCCCACTGCAGGTCCCAGCCCACGCCTGAGAAGGGGCCCCTGACTGTGGTGGGTGGGCGTCCCACTGTGAGATGGTCCTCAGAGGCCCTCCTCGGCTGGACCCCAGGGTCTCAGAGAAACTCAAAGGCCCAGGCGACCCTTCTAAGGCAACAATGGCCAGAGGAGGACCAGGGACCTGATGGCCGGCCCCAGAGACCGGCTGGCCCTGGGCGGGAGGTGGCTTGGCTCCTCCGGCTGCAGCACCAGACAGAAGAGGCCTGCGGCCCTGTCCCAGCTGGTCCACCCCCACAGGCAGGACGGAAGGGCCTACCTGGAACTTGTCGGGGTCGGCTCCCCCAGCCTGCCCCACAAAGAGGCCAGCGCCAGGCTCCAGCTCCAGGCCCCGTGGAGGCCGAGCAAACGGCAGCCGTTGGAACTCCTCGCAGTCCACGTACAGAGCCACAGAGCTGCCGTCCACGCTGAGCGCAAAGCGTGTCCACTGGCCCACAAAGGCAGGCAGGCGGAAGCTGGCCGCTGTGCGGGTCTGGCTGTCTCCCGGCTCGGTGTAGAGCAGTGAGATGTCCTGGTGCCCATCATGCACCCCCGAGAGCTTCACGCCCAGCAGGACCACGGCCTGCGCCGCGTCCGTGAGGGCGAACAGCACCCCGGGGCCCTCCGAGGCCGGCCGGATGTGGAACAGCAGCGAGAAGTCAGGGAAGAAGGGGCTGGGCACGCGGTACCGGGCCACCTGGCCGCTGTTGGTATCTGGTCCAAAGACATAGGCTAGCCCGACGTCGGGGTCCTCGATCTGGGTGATCTGCTGGGGCGAGGGCTCTCCAAGGAGTTGCGGCAGCCCCACCTCCTCACGGACACTGTCTGCAAAGAGGAGGACATGGGGGTGAGGGGGCACATGAGGGGGCAGGGAGCTGGGCGCGCAGGCCAGGCAGGCACAGGGGGACGAGGACCGAGGGCCTCCCGACGTCTGCCCGTCCTGTCCTCTGGGCTCTGCCACCCAGCACCTCCTGGGCATCACCTAGCTCATCCAGACCAAAACAACGTCTGCAGGGGGCATGGCGGCCACGGGCGGGGGACACAGACAGGGTGGGGAGCTAGGACGCAGCCCCCCCACACCCCTGGCTCCGACCTCTCCCTGGGTAAGAAGGGAGCGGGGACAAGACCCAGCCGCTCCCTGGCGAGCTGCGCTGGGAACCGGCCTGGGAGCAAGAGACTCCTGGGGACGCAGGGCGTGCACGGGGCTGCTGCTCTCCGGCTCACTGGATTCTGAGCGGAAGCCGCAGCACAGGAGTCCTGCCCCCGGCTTGGGAGTTGGACATGGAGTGGCGACGCTGGCGGGGCGCTGGGCGGGCGCCCCAGGCAGGGTGGCCATTCTCACTGGGGTGCCGCCATCACCCACGGGGGCAGGCAGACTCCCAGGGACTGCCCCACTGTCCCCTGAGTCCCCAGCGCCCCATGATTCGCTCATCCACTCTCCACGCTCAGGCCCACTTGGCCCTGCCTGGAGTCAAGAGCTTCTGCCATTTGACCTGAGACCCTCAGGGAGCAGCCTCGCCGCGGGAGCCCAGGCTGGGGACGCAGCCACAGACACCCGTTCCTACTTCCATTTCTTGTCTTTCCCAGTGAGGCCAGGGTAGGAGGTCACGGGCCGTCCTGTCCACGATGGCTCCTGGGCCTGCACTGATTCCCCGAGGCTGAGGTCCCAGGGGCTGGGGTATCAGGAGCTGGGAGCAGCAGACACACCTCATATCCAGGGGAATTGGTCACTGCTGGAAACAGGAGGGACTCCAGGAGACCCTGACCCTCCATGGACCGGAACACCCACCATGCCAGGCAGAGGCTGGACACCGGGGCTGTGGTCTGGGCCCGGGGCCTTGTCTCTTCTCTAGAGACCCTGACCCTGGCCACCGTGTGGGCATGGTTTGCTCCCCAGAAGGCAACAGTCACAGAGGAGGGACCTTGGGCAGCAGACAGGCTCATGGGCAAGAGGCCTTTGGGGAAGGGTCACTGGTGTGCGGAGTCCTGAGTGAGCTGTGGGGGCTAGCCCCTGCCGTGGGGCCAGGCTGAGGCGGGGCCAGGGAAGAGCAGAGGGGAATAACGTCCACCCTGACCCACGGAGGGCCTGTGTCAGAAAGAACACACCCAGCACAGAAGGCGGACCGTAGCCTGTGCGCACGGACCTCTCAGGCCACGTGGGCAGCCTGACCTGCCAGTCGGGGCTTCCCGGCTGCCCCTGTGGCCTGCAGCTAAGCCCTGTGTGCTGGCTGGGAGTGAAGTCCGTTAGGCCAGCCTGGGCCCCGGGAGATGCCCTGCAGCTGTTAGGACACTCCCCTGGACCAGCAGTGCCGGGCCCTGTGTCTAAGGTCAGGAGTCAGGAACCCACCAGCAAAGTGCTGGGGAGGGCGCCCCAGGCCCTGCTCCAGCAGCAGGGTGTCCCTTAGTGTGCCAGGGTGCCAGAGGCAGCAGCAGGGTCACACTGTAGCACAGGACAACTGGCTCTGTCCAGAGTTCTCCCATTTCCTCTCCTTGAAATTCCCGGGTCCCGTGGGGGGCCCCTCGAACGCCAGGCAGCAAGTTCACCGGCTCCGTTCTCCTGCGAGCGGAGGAGGCCCTGCCGCCCACACTCAGGCTGGCCCTCTGACTTGGACCCAAGCCAGCCTCCCTCCAAATGCCCAGGCCGGGCCCCGTGAGCACAGAGGACGCCTTCCCAGGCAGGAGGCGGCCCCTTAGGAGGACTGGGCCTTCTAGCGCGGCCTCCTCCTGGTAGATCCAGAACTCGGGACTGGCCTGGGGGAAGACTGTCGACCACGGCGAGTAGCGGAGGTCTGGACGCCCAGTGCTTCACACAGTCCCTAAACCCCAGGACAGTCTCAGTCCGCCTCATCCCCACAGGCCCCACGGATGGGCAGCCAGGGCCCGGCTCTGGGGGAAGGGGCTTGGCACCCGGGGGCAGCCAGGACTGCAGCCAGCCCACCTCCTGGGCTGAAGTGCCACCTTCCAGAATCATGACCATCACATGACCTTCACGACTAGGACAGGGCCTGGTCAGGGTCACTGGGGACAGGACATGCATCCAGCCATGTCCCCCAAACCAGCACACAAGTCAGAGGTCCTGGAAGAAGGGAACCCAGCCCCTTCCAGGAGTTCTGTTGCCATCTGAATATCTCTAGGGACGAGGCCCTCACTCCCTCCCCGAACTAGGATCCTGACCAAGAGCAGCGTCCATCCCTACCAGAGGTCTGGAAGTCTCCTGCTAGTGTGACCCCGCTAGGCAGGCTCGGGTGCTCCACATCGCTACAGGGGACAGGCCCCAAGAATGAGCAGACCCCGTCACACCATGCACTGGCACCAGGTACCCCAGCTGCCCCCAGAGCCAGCTCACCTGCCTGGCTTCCTAGGGATGTGACCTTGAGACTCCACAGCCCCCGACCACGCAGCTGCACCCACCTCTGAAGGGCTGCAGTCGGCCATGACCTGCTGTCACCAGCCTCCCCACGACCAGCAGAGCCAGGTCCCTCTCCTGCCTGTGTGGAACTCAGGCCTCTGTTCCTGTGCTGAGTCTGGGCACCAGCCCCACCAGGTGGGTGCAGAATTGATCAGACAACTTCTAACACACACGGGGGCAGGAGCTCTGAGAGACCCAACTGCAAATCAAAGCAGCCACTGTGGACCTCAACAACCGGCTGTGAAATGCACTCTTCCCTCAAACCAGAGGGAGCTCTGACCACCCCTTACCCCTTCCAGCTCCTCGGGGCCTGCTGAGAAGTCTATGCACCAGTGGCCATCAGGAGATGTAGGGGCCCAGGGCAGACTGTGGCGTCTCCAGTGTGGCTGCCTCAGGGTCACCAGAGCATGGCTGCACAGCCCAGAACCCACGAGCAACACCTAACGAGCACCTCCACACAGGGCGGACCCAGCCCAGGGCCATCCCAGCCCAGGACCTTCCCAGCCCTAGATCACCCCACCCAGGACCTCCCCACTCAGGACCATCCTACCCAGGACCGTCCCACCCAGGACCGTCCCACCCAGGACCGTCCAATCCACAATGGTCCAGACCTGAGCTGCAGCTTTCGAAAGCTGCACTGGGACTCCCAGAGGAGGGGCCCTCCCTGAGGACTCCCAGAGGAGGGGCCCACCCTGAGGACTCCCAGAGGAGGGCCCACCCTGAGGACTCCCAGAGGAAGGGCCCACCCTGAGGACTCCCAGAGGAGGGGCCCTCCCTGAGGACTCCCAGAGGAGGGTCCACCCTGAGGACTCCCAGAGGAGGGGCCACCCTGAGGACTCCCAGATGAAGGGCCCACCCTGAGGACTCCCAGAGGAGGGGCCCACCCTGAGGACTCCCAGAGGAAGGGCCCACCCTGAGGACTCCCAGAGGAAGGGCCCACCCTGAGGACTCCCAGAGGAAGGGGCCCACCCTGAGGACTCCCAGAGGAGGGTCCACCCTGAGGACTCCCAGAGGAGGGCCCACCCTGAGGACTCCCAGTCGAAGGGCCCACCCTGAGGACTCCCAGACGAAGGGCCCACCCTGAGGACTCCCAGAGGACGGGCCCACCCTGAGGACTCCCAGAGGAAGGGCCCACCCTGAGGACTCCCAGAGGAAGGGGCCCACCCTGAGGACTCCCAGAGGAGGGTCCACCCTGAGGACTCCCAGAGGAGGGCCCACCCTGAGGACTCCCAGAGGACGGGCCCACCCTGAGGACTCCCAGAGGAAGGGGCCACCCTGAGGACTCCCAGAGGAAGGGGCCCACCCTGAGGACTCCCAGAGGAGGGTCCACCCTGAGGACTCCCAGAGGAGGGCCCACCCTGAGGACTCCCAGAGGAGGGGCCACCCTGAGGACTCCCAGAGGAGGGTCCACCCTGAGGACTCCCAGAGGAGGGCCCACCCTGAGGACTCCCAGAGGAGGGGCCACCCTGAGGACTCCCAGACGAAGGGCCCACCCTGAGGACTCCCAGAGGAGGGCCCACCCTGAGGACTCCCAGAGGAGGGCCCACCCTGAGGACTCCCAGAGGAGGGGCCACCCTGAGGACTCCCAGAGGAGGGTCCACCCTGAGGACTCCCAGAGGAGGGGCCCACGCTGAGGACTCCCAGAGGAGGGTCCACCCTGAGGACTCCCAGAGGAGGGCCCACCCTGAGGACTCCCAGAGGAGGGTCCACCCTGAGGACTCCCAGAGGAAGGGGCCCACCCTGAGGACTCCCAGAGGAGGGTCCACCCTGAGGACTCCCAGAGGCCCCCTGCCCTCCTGGTCCAGCTCCCGCAGGGGCAGAAGCACCAGGCTCAGGGTTCAGGAGGCCACAGCACCCTCAACTTGAAGACGCTCATTTCAAGTCCCCTGGAACCTAGAAGTGACGGCCAATCCAGAACAGGCAGCAAAAGAGCCAGAGCCACGAGAAGCCATAAAGGGGAGGACAGGACGAGTTCACGTTGCCAGCCATGGAGAGGCGCGCGGGGCAGCCGCGCTCCCAGGGACGGCGCACTCGAGACCGCGAGAGTCCAGCAGCAGAGCAGGCGGGGAGCAGGGAAACTAGCTCTGTGCTGCCTGACTTCTAACACCAGGGGACGGTGACAGAACCACCACCCACTGCTCAGTCAACAGTCCAGCCGAGTCCCGGGGGACAGGGACGACACATTGTCAACCTGCACGTCTGACCGGCCAGGTGCCACGACCGTGCACCCCACAATGGTGCCCCGATGCCAAAGTGATCACAGATCCTGTGGGTAATGACAGGCCCTCAGGAGCCTGTCAAAACAGAAAATGACAGCCTCAGGAGCAGGGGCACTTCCTGAGCTCGGCAGGGTTCACAGATCCGCACCTGCACTTTGTCACACGGTGGCAATTACAGAGGGAAGGCCGGGTGGGCA